CGTAGTGGCAAGTCTCAGTTTCTAAGCTTAATGCTCGGGGAATTTGCGAAGTTTTGATGCGGGTTCTTGGTTTCTCTCGAGAATTTTGGGTTTGTGTTGGTGAATAAGTGAGGAGAGATGACGCGCCTCTGTTTATATCTCCAGGAATGGGATACGGGGAGTCCGCGTTTCAATTTCTCTTAAATACCCCACTAAGTAACCGTTAAACACACGATCTTGTGATTAAACTGCCCATTATCCGTCCAACTTCCACAATCATCCGCCTTCACCGTTGTTATCTCATTAATTACGGTTTAAATTCAAATTTTTGGATTAATTAAATCATTTACTTCCCTCCTTTTCTGAATTAAATCAAACCCGACCCGTCATCCTTCCAAATCGGGTCTGGGGGGGAAGTTGTTTGGGTCCAATTTAGTCCAATTGGGCCTAGGCATTAAATGATCCAATTAAAAGCCCAAGGTCAAGGTTCAACTCTCCAATTGTGCTAAAGTCAAAGGTCAGCCCTCAAAGCAAGCCAATTGGGCTAAGGCCCAACCTCTCCATGTATGAAGAGGTATAAAAGCCATCAATATTCATACATTCATATGATTGATGTATAGATTCATATATTCTCATATATTCAAGAAAAGCCTCAAGCAACTAATTCTCTTGCATAGTGTTCTCTTTCTACACATTGTACTGACTTTAGCATCGGAGGGGCCTTCCTCGGCAACACCCCCGAGGCTAGTTTACGTGTGTTTACTGTGCAGGAAACCTTCGTCCCAGCATAACTTGGACCGAATCCAGTCTTCTCCGTTTTAGCGGACCTTCGGCAAGGTCCCATTATTTTCACCCGAAACAGTAACTTTGTATACAACCAGCCAAACACCAACCAAATTTGACTTTTTTTTCTTCCTTTTTCTAACAGGGGTGGCCAGGTTTGACTTTTTAAGAAAATACTATGTACATGTAAAGCAGTTGAAATGGCAATTTACCAATATTATTATGCTCTTTTTAGAGAGTTAAATTAAATATTTGATGCCGGCCTAAGGAGTTTAGGCTTAATATTTCTTAATCAATTATTTGTGGTATTATCATAAACCGAATGCAGCCGAAAATTACAACTTGGGATTAAATTTGTAGAAGTCTAAATATGCTCATAATTAATATTATTGATAAAGTACGTGAGCGAAATTGAATTTCTGATTAAAATCTATACATTACTGACGGTCATATAATATTGCAAGTGGGATTGGAGATTTGGAAGTGGTTGCAACTTGCAAGTGGTCCTAGATACATGTACTATATATCAACAAGGCAACAATTCACAAAAATAATTAATTTGCTTGTTGCTAATTTATTTTGTTTGGCAGTTACTTCAGTACTTCACATTATATTGTCAGAACATAATACGGAGTATAATTTTCTTAAATGGTATTTCATAAATTTCAGTAGCAAAATCAACACATACTAGTAATATTGTTATCTATCATGGCTATCATGATAATCGGAAAGATACTCATACTAAGGACAGTGAAACGTTGGATTGTCTTAAGGAAGTGTTTAATTTAACTGTAGGTTTCTTGTGCGTAATTAATTTTTTGGTAGATAAGGAGCCTCAACATGACTTTACCAACTATCCCGTTAACAAAAATAACTTTATCTAAGGTAGTTGACATCCACGATCTACATGCTTAATTTGTTTTAATAACACATATATTAACCCAATCATTCTTTTTTTTAGGATGTTGATATAAAGTGTTAATCAATTGCTCTTATCTAGTCACATGAATATATTACATATTATAACTAAATATGACAGCAACCAAAGCAAAAAGTCAGGGCAGCAGCCACCAGAAACCTTGGGCTCTATCTTCTAATAAGCACAGTGAGACACTTGAAACATACATTATAGAGTAAGCTCTATGGTTTTCTAATCTTTTCCAGACAGGAAAAAATAAAAATCCTACCATGATCAATTGCATACATGAGGACACGATTAAAACACAGAACGATCACATGTTTGTTTTTTTTTTTTTTTTTTTTTTTTTTTTTTTTTTTTTTTAAGGAAGATAGCTAAGGCAAATTATTAAATTAAATCAATTTCCGCCAAAAACAAATTATGCAAGGCGGTTAAATACAAATAATGGTTTTTTTAAAGGTGGTTATTTTTTTTTAATTTAAAAAAAAAATCATACATAAAAACATTGATATTATAAAACTTTATGTTAATACTTAATACCTATTTACCATTTTTTTAATATACATTTAGATCTTGTTTACTTTACCTTACAAAAATAATATTCAGTAAAAATAATTTCAGTTCAGCAAAAATAATTTTAGTTCAGTAAAAATAGTTTTAGTTTAGTAAAAATCAATAACTTTAAAGAAGAAATATAATAGCGAATCAGTAAAAATAATTTCAATTCAGTTAAAATAATTTAGTTCAGTAAAATTAATTTTATTTCAGCAAATATAATTTTCATTTCATTAAAAATATTTTCAACGCTCAGCAAAAATAAAGGTGAAATGAAAAGGACCTTACAAGATGTTTACAAAAAAAAGTACATTTATAAGAAACTAAAGTGAAAATTACTAATATTTAATAATAATGCATGCAAAAGGCCAAACTTTGTAAATTGTTTTATAATAATGGAGAAATTATATAATTGATGTACATAATAATGATTTGCACAAGTAATCATTATAGATGTACATGCATGCTTTCGGAATAGATCATTATACAAGTAATTGAAATCATTAATGTATGGTAGCATAGAAGAGATACAATTATGAGGAGATGGTATAATATAATGTATGGTTGATGTCCATTGGAATGTATGGAAGGATCTTGGATGAGGTTAGTTATAAACTTATACTTGTATATTTCTTTTATATTATTGTCCATCATGTATCAAATATCAAATATCAATAGATATATATAGCTAGGAAATGTTGTCTAATAAAATATTTAATGTAAAGTAATTAAAAAAAAATTATACCTAAGCTACAATATTTTTTTTAACTAATGAAATAATTTTATTTAAAAATAAAAATAAAAAATGCTATTAATAATTACAAAGTTTTGGGTATGACTTCATGAAGATGCCCACAATATGATTAGTTGCATAATAATTTCAACTATATAATTAAGACCATTGAAGACAATCATATATAATTGATTCCATAACAAGGACATTTAGTTAAACCCCTTACATTTCTTTTACTCTCCCAAATTATGTAGTCCACTAACATAAATCAGGTTGATCTGTAAGGGGTTTTGGCTTAATAGGTATTTTTTTTTTTTTTTTTTTTTTTTTTTTTTTTTTTTTGAAGGGAAGGGAATAGGTACCCGCATCTTGCCTAAAAATAAAAAAAATAAAGAGTCAATTATAATTAGGCTACATGAATATTTCTTGTGCCGTAGACAAAAAGAGTCATATCTGTACAATCAAAGTTTGCACGTCTTTGCTTTGCTTTATTGCTAGCGCTAGCTAGCATTTCGTCAAGATTTGGAGTTCTTCAATAAATAAATGAAATTTGTTGTTTTTCTAAACTTGATTTCTACATCCAAATTAAGTATCTCCTAAGTGTATCTCTAAATCTCTCTATAATAAAAATAGGGTATTAATTTTTGTTGTTTAAATGAGTTTACTTTGCTTGATCGAATGATCAATATACAAGTATACATTATGAACTCAATATTTTTAAAGAAAAGGTGTCTATATCTATTGAAACTCTATGTAAATTGATGGAAATTGTTCTCAATTGGAACAATCGAATATTAAAGGAAAAAAAAAAACAAGGGAAAACATAATTATGTTATTTTGCATTGTTTGGATGTCAATGGGAATAGAATTTTTTATTTTTTATTTTTATTTTTTAAAGTCATCAACTCATGCAAGTGAATATATGAAATCCCCACATCAATGACAATGACTAAACCCTCCCATGCATCTCCTTCCAAATCATTACTCTCTCCACCATCAACCTCACCATCAACATCTACCCCTATTCATTTCCATTACTCCATCATCGATCTAAGGACACTTGTCATATGTTTTGTGATGATAGGTTTTCTATATTTTCATTTCCCAACTATAATATATGCAGCCCGACTTAGGCCCTGTTCACTTCATCTTAAATAAATAATATTAAGTAAAAAATAATTCCAGTTCAGTAAAAATATTTTCAGTTCAGAAAAAATAAGATTAGTTCAGTAAAAATAATTTTAGTTCAGCAAAAATAAGTTCAGTTCAGTAAAATGTAATGTATGTTGTATGTGTACACACATCAAGTGGAAAACAAAACAAAACAAACGCGGATCAACATGTAAGGATCGATCTGAAGCCTATTTTGTGGCCTCCAATTGCTGTAAACTAACTCTGAGTGGCATAGGGTATAACAGTGAAGTCCCTGCCATCTACTGAGGATTTAAGATTTTTCTTTTTGTTCATGAAGAGGACTACTGAAATAGAGCATGAAGCATAAACAGTTGCAGGGTAATATTCTGACATGGGGAAGAAAACTCTACCAGATATACGAAAAGCCTACAGTGAACAAAAGATTGCTAAAAACAGCTCAGTATTTATGTATTTACTTACAGCTGAGGTACATTAAAACTTGGAACAGCTGCAACTCTGAAGGTAAATGTTACATGGGAGCTCATGTAAGAGCTACTGTGAGAATAGATTGGAGTTCCGAAGGACTAGGACTGTGCATAAGTATATTGTCTTCACATTCTGCAAGAGCTAGCATGACTGATTCCATGGTTGGCCTTTTGTTTTTATCATTCTCCGCGCCAGAAAGTCCAGCCTCGATCATCATAGCAGCCTCAATCCCATGAATAATCTCAATTATCCCATCCTGTTTTTAGCCATTCGAACAAAAAATTTCAGTTCTGATATTTCCTTCCAATCTAGGGTCTACAAAAGGCATCTTCCCATGAATTATCTCCATTCTCCATTCTGTTTGTATGGTCTTACTAATAAAAAAATGCATATTTTTTTTGCTAAAATTAATTAAATTACCAAAATTCTTCCAAGTCCACCAAAAAAGGAAAAATGTTACAATTATCATTCACACTCCACATAACATTTACAATCAATACAAAAACGGAAACAAATCAATAATTTTTTTACGAATAATTCAGGTAACACCCGTGCATAGCTAAGGATGAACATAAATACAAATGATGCCTTAAAACTAATACTTGTATAAGATACAGCAAGAGAAGCTCGAGTCACAGAGTGCCAGGAACGTGCATTAGCATCTCGTCTTCACATTCTGCAAGAACTTGTGCTACTGATTCCATGGTTGGCCTTTTGTTTCTATCATCCTCAACACAAGAAAGTCCAACCTCGATCATCATAGCAGCCTGATTCCTGCTGAAACGCCCTTCCAATCTTGGGTCCACCAAGTCTTCTACCCATGAATCTTCTCCATTCTGAATTTTCCTTTTAGCCAACCGAACAAATTTTACCATTTCTGGTATTTCCTCTATGCCATGGTGTTCGTCATCTATTACCAAACTTGATAATCGTATACCCCTTACAAGCTCAAGGATCACGACTCCATAACTGTAGACATCGACTTTTGCAGTAATGGGAAGATTGATTGCCCATTCAGGAGCCATATAACCTTTTGTGCCTCTGATCCTAGTCAGCTCTGATGAGCCATGACCCCCTCTTTGACATAACTTTGCAAGGCCGAAATCTGAAATTTTTGGCTCGAAATTCTCATCCAGTAGTATATTTTCAGGTTTGACATCACAATGAATAACCCATTCTAGGCACTCATGGTGAAGGTAAGCTAAGCCTTTAGCTGTGCCTAATGCGACTTTGAACCTCTCCTTCCAATCAAAAACAGTTCTGACTGAGAACAGGTGCCTGTCCAATGATCCATTTTCTACAAACTCATATACCAAGAGTCTATGTTTTTTTTCGGAACAAAAACCCCACATTCGTGCAAGGTTCATATGGTTGATTTTACCAATTGTGCTCACTTCAGCCCAAAATTCTTCTTCTCCTTGGACCACATTTTCTAGTTTCTTCACAGCAACTACTCTGTCATCTCCCAGAACACCCTTGTAAACGGTACCAAATCCTCCTTTTCCTAGAACTTCCTTAAAGTTAACCGTTGCTTTCTTGAGCTCGCTGTAGCTGAAGCTCCGGAACTGATTTGAAATGGCACGATATCCATCTTCCATAGAAGCTGAAAGACCATGCTTCCTAAAAAGAAACCACCACCCTATTACTAAAAGGACTACTTCAATTGCACCAATGACAGTAGCAAATGAGTACAGATAAACCCACTTGAATCTTTGATTGGTTGTGTCATATGTGTTCGGCAGTGCTACTATTTTACTTCCACAAGCAAGACGAGACACGTTCAGGATTGCAGGTTCTGATGTCTGTGAACCTCTTGGTAATCGAAGATATATGCTACCTGGAAAAGTAACCACCCTGACTCCATTGAAAAGAGAACTTTTTGTGAAGCACATTCCTTCACCAGTTAGTCGATAGCTAAATGCTTGACAGCGGCAATCTTCCAAGCAAAGTTGCCGACAAAGTTCATAAGAAGCAGGCACAGTGTAGTTGAGATCAAATCCATAGTAATCGAGGTGGGAGACCTCAACAAACTCAGAGTCGGAGCAACTTCTATGAAATTTCGGCCTGCACCCTTTGCTCCAATCACTTACATCAGTGGGTTCGTAGCTAGGAGGACAACTACATTTTGGCTCCGGCGTATATTCACAAATTCCATTTCTACCACAAAGACCATGTATGTCACATGGTTTTGAAACTGCTTGCCAGGTTATATTCCATAAACCAGACGATTCATTTAAGCTGTAAGTCCTCAAATTCCCATCGAAATCCATTGTTAATCGTCTCTTGATCCCAGAACCTACATCTAAAGAGCTAAACTGAAGCTGATCACTTGCAGAAAAGGTGCCCATATCATCAAGCATGCCAATCCTACTACTGTTATAAGTTGTTCTACCATTTTGAAACGGATCAAAAGCAATATTAGGCCAGTAAATGCTGGAAAATTCAGGACCATCATAAATCATTCTAAGCACATTATCATTATCAAAAAAGAAACTAAAATACCCAGAACCAAACATCCGAGGACCTATTCTGGACAACAATCTTTTGTTCTTAGTAAACAGTTGATGAGGAAGCAAAGTATCAGTAGGAAAATCAAAGCTTTGCCAAAGAATATTACCACCAATATCCTTAAGAACAAGGTTCCCTGTGTTGAGAAGTTCTGCTGTTTCCGCAGTTGTTGAAGTCGTATTTGTTTCCCAAGCAGTTGAACCATCATAATCTGTTAACAACAATACACCATTTTTCTTCAGAGTTAGCCTAGAGCCACGCCGGTTAACCGGCTTGTCTCGCTTGGCTACCCAAACAACAGTTCTTTCCTTTGAATTGGTAAACCAGATTGAGAAGTAATAAGCATTGGTTCCGAAACTCGAAAATCCACAGCTGAAGGTTCTGTCAGGGGAAATGAGGAGACCATCATCAGAATCTTTGACAGCTAAAGAAGAGCCTCTTGACAGATGATTTCTGGCAAAAACTACTGATGCAAAAGAACTGAAAACAAAGAGAAGAAGGAAGAGATTTGTTTGGTTTCTCATTGTTTGGCAATTGAATTTTGCTTCATACCTTTGGCTGCTTTCTATATATTGTAACTGTTTGGGTCCAATTTAGTCCAATTGGGCCTAGGCATTAAATGATCCAATTAAAAGCCCAAGGTCAAGGTTCAACTCTCCAATTGTGTTAAAGTCAAAGGTCAGCCCTCAAAGCAAGCCAATTGGGCTAAGGCCCAACCTCTCCATGTATGAAGAGGTATAAAAGCCATCAATATTCATACATTCATATGATTGATGTATAGATTCATATATTCTCATATATTCAAGAAAAGCCTCAAGCAACTAATTCTCTTGCATAGTGTTCTCTTTCTACACATTGTACTGACTTTAGCATCGGAGGGGCCTTCCTCGGCAACACCCCCGAGGCTAGTTTACGTGTGTTTACTGTGCAGGAAACCTTCGTCCCAGCATAACTTGGACCGAATCCAGTCTTCTCCGTTTTAGCGGACCTTCGGCAAGGTCCCATTATTTTCACCCGAAACAGTAACTTTGTATACAACCAGCCAAACACCAACCAAATTTGACTTTTTTTTTCTTCCTTTTTCTAACAGGGGTGGCCAGGTTTGACTTTTTAAGAAAATACTATGTACATGTAAAGCAGTTGAAATGGCAATTTACCAATATTATTATGCTCTTTTTAGAGAGTTAAATTAAATATTTGATGCCGGCCTAAGGAGTTTAGGCTTAATATTTCTTAATCAATTATTTGTGGTATTATCATAAACCGAATGCAGCCGAAAATTACAACTTGGGATTAAATTTGTAGAAGTCTAAATATGCTCATAATTAATATTATTGATAAAGTACGTGAGCGAAATTGAATTTCTGATTAAAATCTATACATTACTGACGGTCATATAATATTGCAAGTGGGATTGGAGATTTGGAAGTGGTTGCAACTTGCAAGTGGTCCTAGATACATGTACTATATATCAACAAGGCAACAATTCACAAAAATAATTAATTTGCTTGTTGCTAATTTATTTTGTTTGGCAGTTACTTCAGTACTTCACATTATATTGTCAGAACATAATACGGAGTATAATTTTCTTAAATGGTATTTCATAAATTTCAGTAGCAAAATCAACACATACTAGTAATATTGTTATCTATCATGGCTATCATGATAATCGGAAAGATACTCATACTAAGGACAGTGAAACGTTGGATTGTCTTAAGGAAGTGTTTAATTTAACTGTAGGTTTCTTGTGCGTAATTAATTTTTTGGTAGATAAGGAGCCTCAACATGACTTTACCAACTATCCCGTTAACAAAAATAACTTTATCTAAGGTAGTTGACATCCACGATCTACATGCTTAATTTGTTTTAATAACACATATATTAACCCAATCATTCTTTTTTTTAGGATGTTGATATAAAGTGTTAATCAATTGCTCTTATCTAGTCACATGAATATATTACATATTATAACTAAATATGACAGCAACCAAAGCAAAAAGTCAGGGCAGCAGCCACCAGAAACCTTGGGCTACAGTCCAGAAGTAGTTTTCATGAAATTAAAACAGCTACCTGAGCTGATAATGAGTTCAGCACAACAGACACAATTAGGGAAAAAAAAAAAAAAAAATCTTGATTGAGGATCTCTTCTGAATATTTAATCTTTGATATTTCTATTTATCTTCGTCGAATTTCTAATAAGGTTCTTGTAATTTCTGTATATCTGTTCTAGATTGTTACACACTAAGGTCCTAGAAAGATCACATGTTTATCTTCTAATAAGCACAGTGAGACACTTGAAACATACATTATAGAGTAAGCTCTATGGTTTTCTAATCTTTTCCAGACAGGAAAAAATAAAAATCCTACCATGATCAATTGCATACATGAGGACACGATTAAAACACAGAACGATAATTACAGACTGTCAAAAACATCAAGAAATTAAAGATAAATATATAAGATAAGGCCATTTAGCAACTTCTTCATACTAATTTCCTTTTATAGCATTGACAAAATGCACATAAAGCAAGCTTTTTCTTAATCAAATACGTACTCCCTCCGTCCCTGAAAGAACGACCCTTTTGGGTTGATTTCGCGGATATTAAGAAAGTTAAATTGGAAGTATAAGTGTATGGGGAAGCTAAGAAAAGTACATTGAAAAGAGAATTTTATATTGGAATTGCAAAAAAGTAGAGAGTGAAAGTAATAAAAGTATATAGAAAAAGCAAAATTTGCATAAGGGAGCTAATTTTACACAAATATTATTGCAAATTAGTGGGTATTAAAATGCAAATGGGATGAATATTTTGGGACTAAAATTAGGCCAAAAAGGTCAAACTTTTGGGGACGGAGGGAGTAGTATATATGAGTTAATTATGTTCATTGGCACCTTGAGAATCCACAATGCCAACTAAGAGATTGCTCAAAGCATAATCACTATTGGGCTATGGGTCCCTTCCTATGTGGAGAAAGCCCATTTGATGTTATGATGTTTTTGGGGGTAACTAGCTAGATATTTTCTCCGTTTCTAATTAAATGACACGTTTCTTTTATCGCGTTTGTCAACGCACAATTTTCACGAGTTATATCTCCCATTATCAACATTGTAAAATTATAAAAAGTGGATATTAATAAAATATACATTAAGACGATTTAAACAAGATCCCACATGATTATGTTTTATTGTAGCTACAAATCACAAAAGCTAGTCAAAATGTTGTTTGTGAATAGTGCAAAAGTCAAACTGTGTCATCTAAACAGGAACGGAGGAAGTAGTTTTTTGGCCCAAGTTTGCAACTTCACAAAGAAGCTTCTTTAGTTGACTTTTTGGTGTGCAAAAATGAGTGGCAACAAAGGGTCTTGCATACCAAAAACTCTTGGTGGACCTTATGGTCTCACGTGCCATTGTCAGAACAAAATAGCCCAGTGCACCTACCCAGCCCAATTCTAACAAAAGTCCTTATAAAATCGCAGTCCTCTATCATTTTAATTGTGGAAAGCTAAACGTCGCCCTCGAATCTCTAACTAACGCCCGCAAAATAACCTAAAATGACGTACGTAGCCTTATTATAAAAATAATTATTTTTACCTAAACTTAACACTTTTATACCCTACACAAAAATTTTAACCGTTCTCTCTAGTGTTCACCGGCCACCAACGATCACGTTTAACCACCAACCACCGTAATTTTCAAATTCAAACAAATAATTTAAATTTTGCAAAACCCAATTCGTTGGATCTCATGGAAGACGACGAAAGACCGGAACACCACCTACGTTGCTCGCCGGAGGCTCGTCGGACCGTACGGAATCGGTACGATTATTTAAATGTTTTGTTTTCGAAATACCCAGGAAAACGCCAAGAAATTTCGAAAAACCTAGGCGGAAACGCCTAGTTTTTTCGAACACCCTACATACAATGACCAAAACACAACTCATCAATGATAGCAACACACAAGCATTGTTGTAGCTTAGGCTATGTGGGACTTGAACCCACACCATGTACATTATTGTACATTGCTCCACCCTTTGAGCTAATAGCCTATATATATATATATATATATATATATATATATATATATATATATATATATATGGACAATCCTTCTATCTGTCCCTTGGTTGCTTAAACCAAATATTGAAATAAAAGAACATCTTGTTGACAATAACATAAATAAGAAGAATGACCATGAGTTTGTGACACCCTTAAAACAAACAAAGTATCTTAGTCATAGACAACATTAATTAATGTCAAACTGTCTAGGGTGATAGACCACATTCTTTAAATTGAAAGTATTAACTAGATAACTCTAGCTGACATGTTCAAACCTAAACCCAATAGAAGTTCAAGTTCAAGTTCCAGGAGATTAAAGCAAGAAAGAACTATGAAGGTATGAAAAGGAAGCATACCAATCTGGTCCTCTGCAGTCTAAACTTGAAACATAACATATTTTCATCACACTAAGATAACTAACATCAGGGCAACTCTATTTGACTATGTAACAGATAGCATACATGAAACAATTCGGTTCTTCTAATCCTACCAGAGTGCCAAGGGTCACAGCTAGGCAAACACATAATTAAGAACTGCAACCACTTTACAAAAAGAACCACCAAACAATCCTCAGTGCAGTCATCCCTAAGATTTGCCAATATACAATTAGTATAATTAAACCAACTTACTAGGGTTAACCAAAGTATCTATATCGAGTACACCCTAGGCTACCATGTATGGAATATGGATATTTGTCCAGGTGTCTAACATGTCATTGATGTAAATTTTTCATGTCCTTGTTCCAAGATAACTTATAACTGTCATAAGCCAAAGGTCCATACCCATACCTACACGTCAAATACCCAATTCAAATAGTAGAGGTGATATGAAGAGTCCGCAAGTAACATAGGGTGTGGTAGGCATGCGGTGAAAGATGCCTAATACAGTAGCAGTATTTGAAAATGGCTACTTACATTGAAATACTCATTGAGTAGCACAATTTAGAGTTTTCTCAATAACATATAATTCCTCTCCCACCCTTTCTCTCATTGACACCACCAAAACAAAAAGGAGCGCCCATTTCATTCTTTTCCTCCCTTAGTCCCCTCTATATCCCTAGAGAGCGTCAAATTACAACAAAATTCAAGCAAATCCTGAATACGACAATGTATACAACTACTGTAAGTCTGTAATTAATTTTTTAGATGAATTCAAACTTAGAGGATTGCGACTTGAAGAACAATGAGTCGACTTGACCTGAATTTTCGATCGTGAACCATGAACCGAAATTGACAAATTGCATTCAGAATATTGTATGTTGTAAGGAAAAAAAATGGATAAAGGTACTTGTAAACCCTTGTTAACTTCACTATACAAAAGATATTTCGTAATGTTCGGCATAAATAATCTCAGTTAAAATGATTTTAGTTCAGTTCGGGTGGGAGAGTGGTGGGTGGCTAGTTCCAAAGGTGGAATCAAGGGGACTAGGGTAGGCCACGAGCCCACAACCCCCTGTTTTAAAATTAAATTCTTACACTAAATGTTAACATAATATATTTATACAAACTATTGGGTGCGGACTATAGTTCGTGCGGGCAGCCTATTTCCCCTTCAATTATCAAAGGAAACTGAAATTTTAGGGCTCACAATTCGCAGAATAATATCATAAAATTCATAATGCTTGAATCAGTCAACCAAATCGAAGAAAATGATTTATTTTCTAATTGAATTGAAGATGACGATGACGAAGACGAAGACGAAGGTGAAGCGGTTATGCGATTTGTGGCTGGTGGTCGGTGATGATGTGATTTGCGATTTGCGGCTGATGGCTGGTGGTTGGCGATTTGCGATCTGCGGCTGGTGGTTGGCAATTTGCGATCTGCGGCTGTTGTGGTGGTTGTTGTTGGCACGAGATGGTGGTTAAGATGTGACTGGTGGGTTGCGAAGTGGGGTAGTGGAAGATTGGTGGCGAGTGCAGCTGGTGGAGGATCGATTGGTGGTGCAATGCTCGGTTTGGGTGGCTGAAATTGGTGTGTGCAGGGCTACTAGGTGGTGAGATAGGGGCGTGGTGATTGAGTGAGGGAGTGTTGATGTGGTGGCTGTTTTGTTTGGGTTGTTGGCGTGGAAGATGGGAGCAAAGGAGTTGGCTGGTGGTGATGGGTGTGGATTGGTGTCTAGAAGATTAAGGGGCTGCTGGGGGTTGTGCGTGAGTTGGTGGGTGTTTGATTTTGAGCATTTTGGGTTGGTTGATACATTTAAAAGAGAGAGAAAGAAATAGAGGAAGAGGGGAAAGAGGAGAGAGAAGAAAATAAAAATATTGTATGTTGTTAATCATATTAGCCAATAAATAACACATATCAGCTATTGATGTCTGATATCAGTCAATATTAGAGACATATCAAACATTAATAAAAAAAACGTATCAGCTAACAAAAGATACATATTAGCAAACAAGAGGAGTATATTAACCAACAAAAGGTACTTATCAGCCAACAGAAGGAACATATCAACCAACAAAAGGATGAAATCAGCAAACAAAAGTAACAAGTAAGCCAACAAAATAAACATATCAACCAACAAAATAAATATATCAGTCAAATAAAGAAACATATAAGCCAAATAATGTTTGATATCAACCAACAAATATATATATATATATATGTGTGTGTGTGTGTGTGTGTGTGCGCGCGCGTGTGTGTGTATATGTATTATATATTGTATGTTGTTAATCATATTAGCCAATAAATAACACATATTAGCTATTGATGTCTGATATTAGTCAATATTAGCAACATATCAAACATTAATAAAAAAAAACTTATCAGGTAATAAAAGATACATATTAGCAAACAAGAGGAGTATATTAGCCAACAAAAGGTACTTATCAGCCAACACAAAAATTATATCAGCCAACAAATTAAACATATCAGCCAACAAGTAAAACATATCCCAAGCCAGCCGCTCGGAAATTTGTAACTTCTCATATATTTAAGGCTCGGTTCACTTCACCTTAAAAAATAATATTAAGTAAAAATAATTTTAGTTCGGTAAAAATAAGTTCAGTTTAGTAAAATTCAGTATCTTTAAAGAAGAATTATAATAGAAAATCAATAAAAATAATTTCAGTTCAGCAAAAATAATTTCATATCAATAAAATTAATTTAAGTTCGGTAAAAATAATTTAAGTTCAGCAAAAATAATTTCAGTTCAGCAAAAATAAGATGAAGTGAACGGGGCCTTAGGCTAGTTAATTTAGCTAAAATAAGGAATTGTTTAGTACGTGGTTGCAAGTTTGAATCTTGTTAGCTACACTATGTATTTAGCGTGACATAATAGTGCTTACATATTAATATATTACTACATGTTACAAGAAAGAAAAAAAAAATATCATAGTCTTCTTATTGCCTGATGGAAATTAAAATTACTATTAAGATAAAAGAAATAAACCCAATTGATCTTGACCCCGTAATACAAATATTCTGATAAAACATAAATAGTAGGTATTCACAAAAATGTCAAGTAAAGCCCTGGTCACTTCATATTTTTCAATAAAAAAAAATAGCGACAGAAGTAAAAATTTACAGCACGTTCACTTAACCTTATTTTTTATGAAACAACCATTTGGGATTTAAATAAAAATCATTTAGGAATATAAGGAATACAATTATTATTTTTTAAGATAATTTTAGGTATTTAACCAATCAAAAAAATCCTCCATTGCAGGGTTGTAGCAATGCAAGATCTCTCTCAGTCTCTCTATAGCCATGATGTCGGTGGTCAGTGAATGTTTATGTTTGACCCTCCTCCATTTTGTCATTTTCCTTAAACACCTCCTCTAATCATATTTATTTAAGACTAATCACCTATAAATCCAACCGTCCATTCTAACTAATCTCAACACGTGTAACCCATCCATTCAATTCAACAACTCACTTCACCGCATTAATAATCCTCCTTACACTCTCTCACTCCTCACTTCCACTTCTCTCACTTTCTTCACTCCTCCAAAGCGTCGGCATCTCTTCCTCGCCATTTTTCGACACTTTTGCTTATCCATTCTTTTAGCGACGAAAACAAATTCTGGGCTCAGATCTTCAGCTGCAATGCAAAAGGTATTACATTTTCATCAATTATTTCATTTTTTCACCTTTAATTCTTTTTATTTTTGTTCAAATTTAGTGGGTTTAGATCTTTTAATTACATTTTAGATCTCAATTTCATATTCTTTGTAGATCGATTCATTTTCTTTTGCTATTTTATTGTTGAATTTAGTTCTGTCACAATTACTAAATATAGTGATTGTATTTTCCGGAGTATAACTAATTATTGTTATATGAATATAGAAATTTTGGGTGTTTTAGTTGTTGGGTTAAATCGTGTTGTTTTCTTGTTTAATTTCTTATTTTGATGATTTGTTCTTGGTGATTTCAGTTTTTGCGTAGTTTTGCTGATTTTGCTGTGAATTTGATTTTTGGGTTTCAGTGAAATTTAGGGTTTTGGGTTGAAGCTGTAATAGGTAAAAATGATGGGACGTTCTCCTCTTTTGAGAACTGGGAGTTTGAGGCCCGAAAACTTGGGTCAACATGCTTTAGCTATGATTGGAAATGTGTGTTTCAGTATCTTTGTTGTTGGGGTTTTGATTTTCACCATAATTGCTGCCACGTACGAACCCGAGGATCCCCTTTTCCACCCGTCTGATAAGATCTCCACATTCCTTACATCGAACTCGAATGCCACGTTCGAGTCTGATAATACTGTCTTAAAGACTGGGGAGGATTTCATGGCGGCGAATCAGACTGCTTTTAACGCTTTTATAAACATTAGTGATGTGGCTGATAATGCTGAGTTCGCGTCTAGTACTGGTACTGATTGTGGGGGCGAGGTTGGTAAAGCGATTGATTGTAAGGACCCGGAAGTTTTCCATACTATGATGAGGGCTGCTATTGAGAAGTTTAAGGATATCCATTTCTATCGATTTGGGAAGCCTGTCCGTGGTTCAGATGATAATAACTGTGATATGGCGTGGCGGTTTAGGCCAAAAGAGGGGAAGACTGCATCGCTTTATAAGGATTATCGGAGATTTGTGATATCTAAGGCTGAGAATTGCTCTTTGAGTGTGACTGATATTGGTGAGTACCACAGTGGAGTTAATGCAAGGAAGAGGAAGCCGAAGAAACAAGCTGTCTTTGAGAAAGAAGGCCAACAAGGTGAAGTTGGTGCTTTGCCGGTTGTTGGGGAGATGGTAAATGATAGTCTTCCTGTTGTTGAATCAGAAGCAGCATTCAAGAATGGGAAATACTTGTACTATGCTGGAGGTGGAGATCGTTGTAAGAGCATGAATCACTACCTTTGGAGTTTCTTGTGCGCGCTTGGGGAAGCTCAGTATTTGAACCGTACATTGATCATGGACCTGAGCATATGTTTATCATCTATGTACACGAAGACAGGTCAAAATGAGGAAGGGAAAGATTTTCGATTCTATTTTGATTTTGAGCTTCTGAAAGAGGAAGCCTCAGTATTAGACCAGCTCCAGTTTTGGACTGACTGGAATAAGTGGCAGAGAAAAGATAGGCTGAGTCTTCATCTTGTTGAAGATTTTAGGGTTACTCCAATGAAACTCAAGGATCTGAAGGATACTTTAGTCATCAGAAAGTTTGGTACCGTTGAGCCGGACAATTACTGGTATCGCGTGTGTGAAGGAGAGGCAGAATCTGTTATCCAGAGACCGTGGCACATGTTGTGGAAGTCAAGAAGGTTGATGGACATTGTTTCTGCAATCGCATCGAGGTTAAACTGGGACTATGACTCTGTTCACATTGTGAGAGGAGAGAAAACCATGAACAAAGAGCTCTGGCCTAACCTTGACAGGGATACCTCACCCGATTCTCTTCTTACAACACTGAAGGACAAGATTGATGAAGGAAGAAACCTCTATATTGCAACAAATGAGCCTGACAAGTCATTCTTTGACCCCTTGAAAGACAAGTACACAACCCATTTTCTCGATGAATACAAGGATCTTTGGGCAGAAAACAGTGAGTGGTCTTCTGAGACCACTAAACTCAACAATGGGGCTCCTGTTGAATTCGATGGCTACATGAGAATATCAGTTGACACGGAAGTTTTCTTGAGGGGAAAAAAGCAGCTTGAGACCTTCAATGACCTCACTAGTGATTGCAAAGATGGGGTAAACACTTGCAGCACTTCCTCTAGTTAGTTATAATATAGTGCTCTCTGTTATTGTCAAATTGATTCTGTTATCCTAGAAAGTCTCATTTGTTTAATTCATGATCTCTTGATTATACCTGCTTCGACTTGTTATGGTAAAATACTTTGTCCCTAAGGCAAGGTTTTTGAACATTTCTCTGTTTCTTTTCTCTCTTAGTTACAGAGCATAAGTCTGTAGGGCTATACATTATATGTAGGATTAGTTTTGAGTTTTCGAGAAAAGACCATAGTTTTGTTGTATTCGTCACTCCCAAAAAAAGGAAAGATAAAATTAGACGATAATTCGTTGTATTTATCATTTCCCTATTTGATTTCTGGTTCACTCTTTCCTTTTCCCACTGTTTAGCAGCTATGTTATAGCTCTTTGGGTTTTTTTGTAGATTGGTTGAGTAGGTTTTCAAATCTCAACTTTCTCCTGTACATGATGCAATCGCCCTAAGAGGTTAATGTTCTTTGATTTTCATTAGCACTGTTCGGTTGTTCTCTAAATCGACCAAAACTTACAAGCTCATCGTTTCTTCTTCGTAGATGGAATTATGATGCAAGAGGCAACCACTGGTTGCCCCCAAAGTAAAAATTCAGTCATTGCAATACATGTGATTATGCAACTAAACATTGATTTTTGTGGTCAAATGAGGATTGAAACTTTGGCTCCATCTTGTCTAGCATAAATTTGCTTTGTATCATGATATTGCTCTTTTCGTGTATTAAGGTAACTGAAACATGGAAATTTCAAAAAAGCTATTATAGATCGTTACTCATCACGTCATAACTTCAATTTTTTCTCATAAGACAAAAAGCCTTTGTACTCCGTAGTATAAAAAGTACTCCATAACAACATGAGATATAGCCTTGGACACTCACTAGACTAATTAATATTAAGTAGGAAAATTACGAAGGACAATGGTTTTGATAGTAAAGCCAGGGCCAATCCCAAACAAGATGCCCCAATCCAACCCCTCTCCCGTAGTAGCATTGTGTAATGATCTCTTCCTCAGTTCCTCATCTCATCCATTACGAAAATTACAGTTGCACTGAACATGTTTCCAAACTCACCAAGGACATGCCAAGCAGTGCTAAGTTTGTTGTCCTTGAGCCCAAGTTTTGATTGCACTTGGCCTAAAACTCCAGGTCCTCCAGGATGACTGATCCAAAATATGGAGTTCCAGTCATTGATCCCAATAGGGTCAAATGCCGTAATTAAGGCCTTCTCAATGTTATTAGATATGAGTTCTGAAATATTTGGCAAATTGTGTATGGTTAGTCCAGCTTCTTGGCAGGTGCCCCTTCTGAGTCCGGCAATATTGTCTACGCTGTCGACTCCAACTCATAGATGAGGTGATGCTCGTTGGACACAGACGATGAGTGAACACCTACGATCACAGCCCCTGCCCCATCTCCAAAGAAGGCTTAAGCACCGTAGAGTCCATGTCAGTCTCAGAGGGTCCGCAGAAAGACATGACAGTGTTCTCAGAGCACACAACAAGCACACGAGCTCCAGGGTTGCTCTCTGCAAGGTCTTTGGCTAGGCGAAGAGATGTTCCACCTGCGTGGCAACCCTGTTGGGATAGCATGTAACGCTTTACTGAAGGATTAAGGCCAAGAAGCTTTGTGAGATGCTAATCACTCCCGGGTATGCTAACGATCGAGGTGGTGCAGAAGATAACGTGGGTTATTTTGGACTTGGATTGCCCCCACTCTTCTATGGCCTTTACGGCTGCCTCTTTTCCGAGCTTCGTAAGCACCGTAGCTTGGATCGCTTCACGGGCGTCCAACGAAGATGCGTTGTAATCACAGATTTGTGGTTATCATTCAATATCTCCTCACTTGTGTGCATGTAACGTTTCTTGATCACTGAGTTTTCACCTAAATGCAATTCATAAAATCGTGTTATTATTAGCATTAGTTTATAGACAATACAAAGTATGAAGGATATGGTGACGATCTTAAAGGGGGATTCTAGCTATCCCATTAACAATAATAGGTATACATTTCCTCTATTTTTTCTTAATTAACTAACAACACTTCTCACACTTGTTAGTACGTTATTTCAATCAGCAATATCAAAAAGTGAAGGAATGCATGCATATGAGCTTAAATTTTTCCTTGAGATCACTCATATGTAGTGTCCAAGATATAATTCATGGTCTTTAGAATCTCAGGAAAAAATGTAGTAAACTCTTTCTCTAATTCATTGTTCAAGATATAATTCATTGTCTTTAGACAACTGTAAACTCTTTCTCTAATTGTTGTCTTAGCATCGTTATATTTCCTCATAGAAACTTCATCTTGCGCTATATGAACTCTAGTTACCATTACCGGCGGGTAAGAGTTAGCTTCAGTTCTTTTTAAGATACTAATCGTCGTCAAGTCGGCCAAGTTTTTATCGATAATCTTGTCCATATCATCCATGAGTTTTAAAGCATCGTTTTGCAAGCATCCAAGCATTTGATGGATGACATCTACGTCCGTAAGAGCGTCCTTGTTGTTGCTTTTTATGCAGCTAATGCATACAACCGGAGCGAATGTTGCACCGCACATTTTGTTAACTAGAGTAACGTTGTCTGCGGCATGTGTCAAAACGTCTATTAGGCAAAGGAAAGAAATTACTTGTGTGCAAATTTTGTTGTAAAAACTCACTGTATTATTATGTTCTTCAATTGGAAGCCTAATTCAATTTTAAATAGATAGATGAATTCATGTAATTTATAGGTCAGATTTAGGTGGTTTTTACTAGACAGAAAAATATGGGTGAGCAAGCACAAATCACCCATACTGTTAACCAAACTTTCCAAAACATCCATACTGTTATCCAAACTTTCCAAAACACCCATACTGTTAACCAAAAAAAATTCCACCTTTATACCCCCATATTCTCAAAATGAGCCTTTTATCTATTAGTGTTATTGGTAACCTGTTTAGAAGGATTTTGCCACATGTTGTCTTCTAATTGGTTATTTTTATTATTTATATTTAAAAAATAAAGGAATAAACAAAAAAAAAAAAACAATAACCCATCTTCTTCCTTCCCTTGCTGGAGCCCCCTCCCTCGCCGGGTCAATCGCCGCCGACCTGCCGGACCCAGCCGTCCTCTTTGCCTCCCTCCTACCCAATTCACCACCACCACATCCAGCCTCCCTCACACCGAAAAAAAAAAAAAAAAAAAAAAAATCAACCACCTCCAGGTTGCTGCCGATATTAAAAGAGTAAAAAATGAAGGATTCCACTTGTGTTTTAGGCAAACAATGTTAGCAAGACAGATTTAAGACACAAAAGAATACCTTTGGGCAAGAAAAGGTGGTCTCCTCAGCTAGAAGGCGCCGTCCTCCACTGGGAAGGAGAGAGATCTGAAAATGGGAGATATCATTACTGGTTGACTTCTTGGCTAATTTTTCTGATATGCATGTACTTGCAATCTCATCTTGGAAAACAGCCAGAAGCAGCAATACAAACCCCAACACCATCAACTCTGCAAGAGAATGTTGTGAGAAAAAAGATGCAAAAGAAGACGCGGAACTGTAAGTTGGTATATAACCTTCTTTGATCTTCTGTAAGGCATCTTAAAGGGGCTTCTTTTCCTTTCTTTTCAACATCTGCAAGCGTTTTTATGGTTTTAGCTTCGAAAAGTGAGAAACATATAGAGAATAAGGTCTGAGGCCTATGGGAGGGGTAGGAAGAGACTTGCCTGACCGAGGAAATTAAGAAGTTTTTCGATGAACCATCAGAAACACCACTTCTCCAATGATCCATGATGGTGTAGACTCAAACCATGGCCCTCCTTCTCCTCCTGCCATCTATCTGGTTTTCGGTATCACCCTTTCCTAATTGTCTCTATGATTAGTATCCTAACATAATGATATATTTTTCGTGATGAATTCTCTTGCACATCTTTGTTCAGGAGAAATGGTAATGCCTTGACTTACCAAATATGCATTAACTAGCTTATATTATGAAGATTTAAAAGTTGTCTTCCATGTTTCAAAGTCAATCCCAGTTTCGTTCTCAATTCTCTGAGTCATTGGTACTTACTTTTAATTGCTAAGATACTGCTATTTAAGTTGCAGTTGAAAAACATTTGAAGATTATTCATTTGATTTCAACATAGATATTTTTGTTTAATATAACTGGTTAGTTTAATAATATAAACCATGATGATTTTTGTGTCTGCACCGCAGATTAACATTCAAGAACTACACTGAAGTTTTTCTCATTATTTAAGGTGTATGGAATCCATATTCAAGTAGTTCAGCACTACCCAATCATACACAGATTTCTTTTCGTGATTGAAAGTCTGGTTCAAAAGCTCTGTATCTATGTTAGCTTGTGTGGACATAGATATGGTCTAAAATAAGTATAGTCATGTTGTCTAACCCTTGACTCGTTAACTATAAAAGCCAAAACAAGCAACCATTAGCTAGATCGCCTGGCTGCTTAGTGCATCTTGATCTATTGCTGTCTCATAGCTTACACTCATGCATAACCATTGACCATTGTACATTATTCATTTCTTAAGTACCTTGTTCTCTGGTTTCAAAAGTCTTTCAAATTGCTTTTTCTCCATATATGATTGACCATAATTATAAGCTCTATATGCTGCTCTATCATGTCTGCAACTAAAAAATTAATAAAAGTGCCAGCTTGCTTATGTGTTTATGTGTTACGATGTTTACTTTGACATGTGTCATACATTTTCCTTCTTCTGCGTTTGTCAAGTAATTAGATGCGAGATGCAGGTTGTGACTATCTATGTGAATGCAAAGCAAACTGCAGTTCAATAATACCATCTGAAAGCACCGTGTTGCACAGAATGTTATTACAGATCATGTGTCAAGATCAAGTTAAGAACTTGAGATAATGTTTTTAGTTTCGAAATAGCATTTTAGTTTCAAGGGTGGTAAGATCTAACCCATGTCCAGAAGTTGATTGCTGACCCAAATGAATTAATGAAAAGTATGGTGTGGATCAACAACAGGACAATCCTGGGTTTTTTGCACCAAAAGTAGTCATCTGATGGTTGATTTCTTAGTACTCCGATAACGACAGTATGCCTCTGAGCTATATGGATAGCTAGATCTGTGATCACTTGTTCCAGTTTGGTGCCAACTACTAGTAAGAGCTGGAGAGTGGAGATACAACTCTTTGTGTTAATACAGAGTAGTAAAAACATATCAAGAGAATCTACAAAAAAGAACGGAGGAAGTATGAAGTAAACTTCGGGATCAAAGCTTACAAAACACATAAATGATTGGGTAATGATTGACTAATACTGATTGCTGTATCTATTTCTACTTACAATAAAGGGGATACATGCAATCGCTAAATATATATTCCAACCTGCACATCGAACAAATGAAGTTAAAGACAATCCACTGCACCATACATTTGAAAAAGATAGGGAGTATATATCTATCATTTGTTGAAAAAAAGAAAACAAGATTAATTCCAAATAAATTTCTTCATCAAAATAGTCTATTATGTTAGATAACATACCAGCAACATTCAGTGTCAATGAAATAACCACAAACAGCCACATGAACCAACTGCAGCCAGAAATAATGCAGATACACATAAGAAAGAATAATTGAGGACCTCATGAATTACTTAGAAAGTGATTTACCTGATAGACACAATTTTATTAAATTCTGCTTCGTATGCATATACGATGTATTTGTGAAAGTCGAACCTTAGATTTCCATCACAATGTGTCTGCAAAAGAAATAAAGATGAGCTCATGAAGCCGCGATTTTAATATTTTACTGTATAAATATCGAATGAGAAAAAGAGCAGTGAAAGGAAACTATACATCCATTCTTAATAAATGTGATAGAAATATTTTGTGCATATTTTCTATCGATATGAAGTGTAGTTAAAACCAATTATTCGCTCTATTTGTAAAGACTTGATAACAATTACCAAAATGAAGCCTGTTCTCATAGCTGTGTAGTCAGCTTTTGTTACAATCCCAGCAAGGTGCTTGAAGAATGAAATCTGAAAGCAGAATGTGAATGTAAATGGTACTAAAACTACACCTTCCTGGATAACAAATAAAATAGAACTTCTAAATCTAAATTGATTGGGCATTTTAAATTTCCCGTATTTCCATTAGCATCGTTTCTTTTATTGACAATATTACACTTATCGAGCTGATCTCAAGTAGCAATCCCGACTCCAAAGAAGCAAAGCTGTAGATAAGTTGTCTTCGTTCACTTAAATTGTACCAATTCCGGTATAGGGAACATATACTTATATCCATACTGGATTGTTGAGAATAAGTGATAATATATAACAAACTCTACATACCACATAATAACGGTACTTGGCATCATTACCATCGAACCGGTCCTTGATAAATGTGAGACTTTTAACATCCAGTACTCTACGATTGTTACCTGTATCAACAACGATGCCAAAAAAAATAAAAAATAAAAAATAAAAAATTAGATCCACAACACAAAGCTGGGAACATTCATAATTTTGATCAGAATCCTAATAAAATAATAGGTTTTTAAGTTATTACCATAATCTGCATCAATCTGCATTCTAATAGCATCTTCCCACTTCCGCCACTGCAATATCTGCAGCTTGTGAATTGTGGTGACAAAATAGAACATCAATTAGTATTAAATTGGGAACAATGTTTATTGGCATAAGTTCATACACCTAAGCTACAGACGGCTCTCCTGCACTCAGAGATGATATAATGCATAAGAAATTACCTTCATCTCTCCAAGAAGAACTATCAGGATACAGCTCAGTACGTGGACAACTGCTAATATAAAGATGAGGTAATAAACGTCATGAAGGATATCACTCGATATGAAAGGTACCTTTCCCTGCAAATGTAAAGACAACGAATTAGGCCCTAAGTCAGTAATATACTTGGCAGTAGTCAGTAGAGAATCATGTCAATACACTACTTAGCCGCTTGCCTTCTCATGATTTCTACAGATTCATGGTAGTAATCCGCTGACAATTTTCAGCAGTACTTGCCGGATAGGAGAGTGTCATACCTGGTCGCAGTTAGGCTCACTACTGCCAGCTAAAAGGCGGCGTTTTCCTCCTGTGATAAGACCGGAAGGGACCGAATCATCATGACATGGGAGCCATTTTCGAGCAAGTTTTTCTGATATACACCTCGTATGAATCTTATCTCCAAAAACAGTAAGCAGCAGAGATATAAAGCCCAATAACATCAACTCTACAAGATCAAAAAGTTGTACAGGACAGCAATCAGCTATCAGCATGCTACAACAATCAAACAAAGGCAAAAATTTTATCACGAAAACCACCTTCCTTAATCTTCTTCAAGGCCAGATTAAGAGGTTTCTTCTCCTTTCTCTTCAATAACTACAAACATGAAACATAGCACGTTATTTTAGTAATTTATCAGCTCTGAAACAATGTCGATTAGTTGAAGAGAAGAAACAAGACTTGCCTTGCCAAGGTAACTCAGAAATTTTTCGATGACCAAAGAAATAACAACAATCACAAAAACTACTGATCCTATCACCCATGATGGTGTAGACTTAAAGTCCAGCCCTCCTCCTCCTCCTCCAGCCATCTTTATCTTCCTTAAACAAGATCAGACGCCTTGTACCGGACTCCTTTAAATAGTACTCGCATATTTAGTAAGCATGATGTTTTCATTTCAATTACTCTTACATAACACCCATACTGTTAACCAATATGGTTCTTTTGGTCCATTCTAATTCAGTTTTCTAATTCGAGCCGGCTATTGAACACCCATACTGTTAACCAAACTTTCCAAAACACCACCTCCATGGCCGTGTCCTTGCATCGCAAAAATTCTTACAACCATTATGAAGTCGGGCACCCCTTAAAACAGTTTCTTACACTATATTTAGTCTAATGAAAGCGATGGGGCTTATGATTGGCAAAATTTTCTAACAATAAGGACGTGAAAAGCATTAATTGGCACATATGACCTGTTTATTGATTACATATGACCTGTTTATTTTGGCAACTAGTACTAGTAAGTACGAGTAGTAGCTTTTAGTGCCCATCATAAGTACGAGTGGTAGCAACTAGTACTAGTAAGCCTACAAACCAGTAAGACTTGGCTCATAAAGTAATAGTTGATCACATAAGTTTGTCAACAAACAAATTTTTAATCAGAACATCACAAGTGTCACGTCAGATTCGCTTTTAGTATTATGTTATTGATTTCAAAATTAAAGATGTTAATGCTTTTACATTTTTTAGTGGTTAAAGGACAAAGTTTAGTAATTGAGGGAGTATTTAAGTTTAGAGGAAGTATTTAATTACTTTGTAGATGTGAATAAAAGATATATAAGCCATATACAACTGTAAGTCAAAATCTCCCAATAGCAATGATAATTGGAGTTGACAAATTAAACTGTTTATTAATGATTTTAGGGAACATAGTTCATGTTATGATTGTACGAATTACGAGTACATACTTAAATTAGAAGCACTAACGAAGACAATTCTATTAAAACTTCGGTGACATGTTCAACCAGAGTTTGGGACTTGGGAGTGTTGATATTTGATCGTACCGTCGTACCATCAATTGAAAGTGTCATCATGTTTCTAATTTTTCTTTTTAGATAGTTTTTTTTAATTAAAATCCATATTATAATTATCATTAAATATAACCACACTACTTTCACTCCATATAACCAATCAAATGTTAAAATTATAGGCATGTTCTTTTTATCTTATTTTCACTTATTTAATGAAGAATAATTAAAAAAAGGTCAAAATTTTTTTTTTTTTTTTTTTTTTGAAATTAGTCTTAAAGGAAACCAAATTTCATTAATTAAAGCCATACGACATCTAAAAAAAAGATAAGTTTTGATCAATAGTTATACATGTTTTGTTTAAAAAAAAATAGTTATACATGTTTAGTTTATCACTGAAATATGCTCTAATTACTTCTGAAAAGTTCCACTCCCTCTGTTTCGTAATAGTGTAAGTGAGGTTGGTAGCTAGGAGAGAAATAATAAAATAGTTGTGGATCCTTACCAAACAAGAAAATGTTGCAATTATTATGAAATGAATGAAAAAAGAAAGTGCTGCGATTATTATGAAACGGAGAGATAATTAATTAAGTTCAAATATGTCACCAGTTTATTTGGATCTCATCCATTCCCTTTCCACACTTCAAGCCCAACGGACTCTCACGTGAGGGAGCGTGATAGAGTATATAATCCAATCTTGGGCTTCAACTGTCAGCTTAAGGTTTTGGTTGAATTGGTCCTTTAGCAGTGTCAAATGAGGGTCACCACAAAATACTTTACTTATAAGATCATTGTTCATGACTACATGCTAGTTTTATCACTCACATAATTTATTTAATTGCAACACTTTGATATAAACCATGTTAAAGTATATACTAAGTTGTTTTTCTCATTTAAAATCTTTTTATGAGACCAAGAAAAGTAGGCTAACACATACAACTTATTGACACTTAGATTATTATTCGCGTGGTTTAATTTAGGTGTTGGTGCTGGCATCATTGTATCTTTGTTGGCTGGATTTTGGTTACGTTGGCAACATGGAAAAAAGAAGATCCAAAAACTAAGGGATAAATGCTTTCAACAAAATGGTGGTCATATTTTACAAAAAAACTTTCAAGACAAGATTTATCAGTTGACAATATGGTTAAAATGTTTACAATTAAACAACTACAAGAGGCCACAGATAACTATAGTGAGAATAACATCATTGGTCGCGGAGGTTTTGGCATGGTTTTCAAAGGAAAATTACCAAACAACCAAATTGTTGCCATCAAAAGGTCCCTCAAGGTAGATTCCACCCAAGTTGAGCAATTTATAAATGAGGTCATTGCCTTGTCCCAAATCAACAATAGGAATGTGGTAAAGCTCTTAGGTTGTTGTTTGGAGACAGAAGTACCATTACTTGTTTATGAGTTCATAAGCAATGGTACATTGCATGATCATTTGCATGATGAAGGAAAAGTAGAATTTTTTATTTGGGATCTTCGCTTAAGAATTCCAGCACAAGTTGCTCAAGTCTTGGCCTATTTGCATACTGCAATTTCTATACCGATAATTCACAAAGATATTAAGTCTGCAAACATACTCTTGGATGATAAGTACACAACAAAAGTTGCTGATGTTGGAGCTTCTAAGCTAGTGCCGGTAGATCAAGAGCGGTTAGGAACTATGGTTCAAGGAACATGTGGGTATCTTGATCCACAATATATGCAAAATGGTGAGCTTACTGATAAGAGCGATGTTTATAGCTTTGGTGTTGTTCTTGCTGAGTTACTAACTAGAGAGAAGGCGATTTCTTATGCTAAGCCGGAGAGTGAGAGATGCCTTGCTATACATTTTCTTAGGAAGCTTAGGGAAGAGAGATTGTTTGAGATCCTTGATGAAAAATTAGTAAGTGATGGTTCAATCGAGCAGCTTAAGGAAGTAGCTAATCTTGCAAGAAGGTGCCTATACCTTAAAGGAGATGATCACCCAACAATGAAGGAGGTCGCAAGAGAGCTTTAGAGGCATGACTTCTTCTCATCCATATTCGTCAAACAACAGCATGCTACTCCAAGAAGAGAGTGAATATATGCTTGGAGAGGCACATGATGACATGATTTCAAGGTTGAATTGTGTAGTTAACTGGTGGTGCTTTTGGACGATGGGAGATGATTTTTATGCTTGTTCAGTACTTCATGTTCGACAAAGTTCTAGCTAGCTAGCTAGTTGCATCTATATAGTTATGATGTTTAATGTGTGCACCATAATGTGTTTAAAATTCTAGTTTTCCGATTGTGTTTTAAAGTTGAAGTACATGCATACATGTTAAATAATGGGATATCAAAAATCTCTTAAGTGATGAACTAATTGAATTGTGCTTTCATTCATGCTTGTGGTGGTTTAATTTCTCCCTTCAATTTCTATTATTGATAATCCATTCGTCTTACATTGCAAAGCAAGCTGTCTTACACTTGTAATTTTTTATATAAATATTTCTTCTATTAATTAGTTAAAAATACTAGTATTAATTTTATTAATAGTATCTATTGATATATATTTAAAAACTTTTAGCAATAGCAACAAAGATGAACTAAAAAATTAAGAGCTTTATAATAAAATTTAAGTTGACATTCTTTAGCTCATCATCGATCAGATCATTTGGTAAAATTTCAAAAGAATCTAATCACATAAGCACGAAGGCTATATTCTAGTAAGAGCATCTCCAATGGCATGGGTAATTGAACGAAGTATAGTGTTTTTTAGTTTCACATCATTGCTTCCGATCCAAGGGTAATTAACTTGAAAATTTGCTACCAAACTTCGAGTATTGATTTAACAAATTTTCGATTTCAAGCCAAACCAATTCAATTATTGATCGTCGCACTACTATAAAAGTGACCTTAGGTAACACCAAATGGTATCACTTTAAAGGTTAGAGTCTTAACTAATTTATAAGTAACACATTTGTAACACTTTGACATCATGTAACACTTGATTGTAACACTTTGATATTAAGTAACACTTTATTGTAACACTTTGATATTAAGTAGTCTTTTTTTTTTTCTCCTTTTTATTTTGTGTGTTTTTTTTCTCGTCCCTTTCTTTCAATTCAAACCCTAAATCCTGAAACAAATTCGATACCCACAAATTTCTCTATACCATCTCCAGATCCCCAAATTTCCCTTCTTCGGTTCTTCCATTGCCACCTCCTTCCCCTCTTTCCATGGCTGACGCTAGCTTATAGGGTTTTTAGTAGAAAATTGATGAAATTTATACAGAAAATAGTGATGGTGGAGAAGGTCAGAGGGAGGGTAGAAGATATTTGAACGGTGGGAGAAGGGCGATGGTGGTAGCGGGGTTCCTGATTTTAGTTGTCTTTATATCCGCTCCCTTCATCTCCTCGCTCGCCTCACCTCCTCCTAGAGGAGCTTGAGAAATCAATGGCAGCAACAGAGTTTGAACAAGAGAGAAGATGATGATCGAAGATTTAGACGAAGACGAAAATATCGACAGCAACTCGAACACTGTAAAACCAAGCAAAATTAATGTAACCAGACCAGCCTTTTCTGCTCGAAGTTTGATTTGATTGTTTGATTATTGAATTGAATTGGTTTTAATTTTTATTCCTTCTCTGCAGGTTTTGGATGAAGTGGATCATATGCTTCACATGGGGTTTGAAGAAGATGTTTGTTCTATATTGAGCCAAACAAGCTCTGGTATGTTATGATTTCATGTCTGCCTAAAACACTATGCTTCATGTTGAAAAGTCCATAATCTTTTTCTAGAATTCTGCAAATATGATGGTAAAAAGAATTAGAAGCATCAAGTCACTCTGCTTCGCATGTCTTTGTTCCAAGATATAGAGAAGCAATAACTTCACTAGTTTGTAGAATCTGTTTCATGTTAAATAATTATCAGGCTGTAAAAAGGGAAAAAGAAGGAGAGCATTGATTGATATTGATTCACTTCTACTTATGATGAAGTTGATGTTTAGTAAGATCATGATATTTTTTGAATTTCGTGGCATCCCCACCTTTAGTTGATTTCTATTATCTTGATTCATTTGTGCTGGACTGTTTTGTAACTGTGTTTCTAGGACTCCAACTGTAGCTGATAAGATGCGAAACAAGGGGTCTAGTACTCTAGTACTTGGCTGGAAACATTATATAGGTTAGTAAAAAGCTTTGATGGAACCTTGGAAATCAATCATTTGATGATAAACTATGAAATTATTCCTTGAAATGATAACGTGAAGCAATTTAGCTCAAGGTTTTTACCAACTGTATATCCCTCTTCTCCTGTATAAAACAAGGGGAGTATGTCTGAAAAACTTGGGGTTACAATGCTAGAATCACTTGAATATAACGCTAGAAATAGATCCAACCATCATTATGCTAATGCAAAGCTTGAAGACACAAAAGTAAACAAAACTATAGATAACTAAGTGACAACTCCGACATGTACATATTATAACAATCTTCAGAAGCCACATCCTATCAAAGATACAACACCCTTGTTTACCTCGTATAATCTTTTTTTGAAAAGAACCACCATCTCGCTGCCTTGATTGCCTCTACAATAGATATAACATCATTGTAAGAAATAGAAAATCTCAATTATGATGCAGTGGGATAACTCTGATCCAACCTGATCCAAGTCACTATATATATGAAGTCCACAGGCTACAACTGCTGACTAAACAATTTATCTCAAGGGAGAAGTGATATCCCCGTCTCCAAGATGGAAAATCTTTTCCAACCTTCTCAACAATCACTATATTATACCACAAACATATCACTTTATTTCCCCTTTTTTTTCCCTAAAATTTTATTTTAAAGCTCCTTGAGATGGAAAAATTCCCCATCTTAGTTCACCATAATGTCCTCTAACATTAAGCCCAATCATTGGAATGGTTTTGGAATTCTCTTCCACAAACAATATTTCCAGCAATAGCTAATAAAATTTATCATCTTTGAGAAGGTTGATTGTAGTCTGATATTAAACAATGTTTAATTTCAGCTATTATCTTGTCTTCAAGGAAACTATTTGCCACAAATCCAGCACCATCTTGTTTTCACTCATTTAGATATTTTATAGCCCTCTATGTATCAGATATGAATAAATATCTCATGAATTTTATTTTATATAAAACTTAAGTCCAGAAGAACATATTCCCTTGCAAATGGTCAAAATCAATTTATGTGCTAATTTCTTCACATTTTGAGGCAAAGTTCATTATCTATCATCATACGTATTTGACATAATGGTTCTTAGTATGTATCAGAAAGCTGAATGCCGTCCATTTGATTTCCTTGTCCCATATGTTGATATTCTTAACAAGAGATAGCAATAGCATATACATAATATCCTAAAAATAGTCTTTTACAATGTTGATTATAGGCTAAACAATTATACGCACTTTTTTGGATTGTTAGCATATTTATACAGGAAAAACTACAGATAATACCTAACAATTTGATTGAAAGAATTATTGCAGCGTGTAATTCAAACAATATATTTGAAAGTAGATTAGTGTTAGGATGATACAAACCTTTTTGTCTTCAACTGGTGGATGCATGATGATTGGTTGAGAAAGAGTGTCAACATTCTGAATATATGGTTGCACCTTCTCTTCAAACATCTCATTCAACTACACATCAAGAAAGACAAGCAGCATATTCAAAATGTTACCATGGATTCCCCCCCCCCCCAAGAAAATACATACGTAAAAAGCTAACTTTAAGTATGTTCAGGAAAGTAGAAGATTAATTGCTTCTTTTGATATTCAATTACAGATTAATTGCTGCCATTATGAAATGATTTAATCAAAATGAATTAGAAAATGGATTGATCAAAATTAATTAGAAAATGGATTGATAATAATTAATTTACCACTACTTAATACTGATATTACCGCGATAATCCCCTTTAGTTATTCAATGGATCATTTGTCTATTAAACTTCTTCTTTGCTTGTTCAACCACGATGTTTATGTTTGTTTACTTATTATTCTCATGTTGAACCATGATGTTTATGTTTGTTTACTTAGTATTTACCTACTTGATTGTTTAATTAGGACTGCTTTAAAATTTGTAACTTCTTATTCTGAATTCTCTTTAATTATAGTAGACAGAGGGTGGTGGGATTTATTTTAGCCCACAATTACTTTATGAGAATAGATAGGCACCTTGAGCACTCGAGTTGTGTGATAACCTGTTGCAGTCTCGAGTATATGTGCATGTCCTAGGATCAGATTTCGCTATTTCTTTGAAGTTTTATGAATTCTAGCTGCTTGATTTGAGGTGCTTAGTCACACACTGCTGTCTATCCCATTCTGGTATGAGGAGAAGTTAATTCAAAATGTCTATATGATTGCAAAATTAGACATTTCCACTGAATTATGTCTTCTTTGCATATACAGTACATAATATTTTTTATTGATGTTTGATTTACAATCCAGGCTTTGCATATTTAATTTAATGGTAAATTTGCATAACTTAAAAATTGATGAAAGAGATGGATTTCAGAGAGAAAAATTTGGTTTGCAATTACAAAGTTAGGCAAGAATGTAATGCTTTTTAGTTAACATAGGCAAGGATTGTTGTGCCATTTTTTAGCACTTGTGTATGGATTTGACCTGCTATTAAGTACATCCCTAGGGCTTGAAACTGTTGTTTATAAAATTCACGATACTGACTTTTGGTGCCATTTTTCTTGGTTTATGCTGCTAACTACCTTAACATCAAGAACCTGCTGTAACTAATGCCTGCTATAGCTACTGCTATTTGCTACTACTCATAAATTTGTGTATATGTTTCTCGACCTCTCGTGCAAATGAAGCTCTAATGGCTATCACATTATATGTAGACAGTCATTACCTCGGATAACCAGGCCAGGTTATAGGGGCTACAGTGTTACCTGTGGATCATGTAAGGACGTTAAAAGTTGGTTTTTAGCTAAGTGGATTGTTGATTTTCTTTTGGTTATCTGTGCACATACCATGGTTAAAGATAGGGTAAATAAGAACATGTGTAACTCCTTATATGAGATTGCACTGGTGGATGAAAGCCTGATGTCTTCTTTTCATGATGCCTTATCTAAAGCAAGGAGTTGTTTGCTGCTATTACTGCTGTCATTGTTGTCACTGTTACCGCTGACTACTGTTGTTGTTATTGTTGTTACGGTTATCTGCTGTTGTAACTGATGTCTGCTGTTGTAACAAATGTCTGCCACTACTGCTGTTACAGTTGTCTGCTGCTACTGCTATTACAGTTGAGCTGCAAGCTGCTGCTGTCTTCGGTTACTACTGATGTCTGTTTGCAATTGCGCTGATTGTGATTTTGCCTATTCTGTTTGGAATTTGGTGGTCTAAGAGATCCAAGTTGACTTTTTTTTTTTCTTTTTTGTTAGTTTGGATTATTAGATTGTTTAGAGAAATAAAAAGAAAAAAAATTGGTGTTTATGGATTTTTGTAAGGATATAGCAAGTTTTATCAATTTAAATTATTATTTAACGTGTATGTTAATTTTACATTGTGTCGTGGTTGTACATTTTAATATTATTATATATTTAAAATTTTATTTTTGCATATTTTAAATAATCATAGTATTAGTAGTATTAGTAGAGGTAATAATAATATTAATAATGATAAATTTTCCTAAAAATAATAATAATTATAAATGATACCTATTAACTAACAAGGTATTACACTAGTTTGCAAAAAGTGATACATAATGTCAAAACTAGTGATACTATATGTCAAAACATGATTTAAAGATGTTACCTAATAATCAATAAGGTGTTACATTAGTTTTTAAAAGTGATATGTAATGTCTGATAAAGTGAAAAATGTTACTAAAGATAAGTAAGTGTTACATAAGAAATGAAAAGTAACACTTCAAAAATGATACTAATAATATTAAAAAGTGTTACATAAGATGGTTTATGGTACCACTTTTAAAAGTATTACCATATATTACCCATAGTGTTACATAAGACCTTAGGTAACATGGGCGAATGTATCACCCATTAAAGTGTTACCCATTGTCTGTAATAACACTTTTACCACTTTATGTAAAACTTTTTAGGTGTTACTTAAGGTTAATTATGTTAGGTTTTACAGTGATTTCAAACTAGAAAGCACTTAAATTTGTGTGGGAACAAAACCTAGATAATATGATTACAATATAATTGTAAATATCAAATACTAATTAAAGTATTACAATCAAGTATTAATATCTAAGAAATTACAGAAAATTTCTAAAGATAACACTAATGTGAAAATAATCAAACTTGCCTTAACTTCAAGGCGTACAAACCACGCATGAACATGAGAATTCCGATGTCCCGTAAGACTATGACCTTATACACTGTCAAAGGCGTGTAAACACTTTCCTAAAGAGTTTAATTTCCCCCACAACGGTGCTTGGGTTCAATCCGGAAATACTCTTTGAGATACAAAAGACAGCCAATCGTTCTTTGCACTAAGAATCAAATTGAAGATGACTAATTCACAAAATTGGATTAATTGGAAGAGATTTCTCACAAAAATTTGCAAGAAGTTTGAGAGAAAATTGTGGAGAATTTCTTTGGAGAGATACAAATTAATTTCTTTTATCTTCAAGCTTTCACGAAATCAAGTCTTTAATAAAGACTCAACCGTCAGGAAAAACCGGAAAACAGGGTGGCGCGGGCGCTCCTACAAGAGGCATGGGCGCGCCCCAAGGAGGCGCGGGCGCTCCTATATTAGGAGCGCGTGCTCCTCACAAAACCTGCAAAATTTCTACAGGAAGGCAGAAGGGGGCACGGTTTAGGCGCGACCAACAGCGCGGGCGCGCCTCTAGGACGCGCGGGCACGCCAACCTTACCCTTCCAAAGTTCCAAATTCCAGAGAGGTACGCGGTTTAGGCGCTCTCTGCGCGGGCGCTCCTCATGGTTCGCGAGCGCACAACCATCAACACTCTAAATATCCAACAAATTATGTACTAGTGTTGGCAATCTTCATTAATTGCCTCCACATCGCCATCTTCCTCTCTTTTTTCTTAATTTTCATGTGATGACCTTTAAAGATTAAATTTATTTAGTTTTATATTCTACAATATGAAATATTTGTTACTAACTTTTAATTTAGTAAGAATAGATAGTAATTATAAGTTGACATATCATTCCTTTAATTTGCAAGTATTTTTAAGTATTAAAAAATTAGCATCAATTATTTGTGTACAACTATCCGATTTTTTAAAATTTGTGAACAACCATCCCTAAGATGCCAAAAGTTGGTCTAGCACTACCCACTAACGGATTTCGTCCAATTGAGTCGTTTGAAGGACCTACACCTACGTTTTCCCACCTAGTTAACTCGATCTTTTCCCACTTATTTAAAGTCTTACTGTTGCTCTTTCCCCCCTAAACTCTTCCAGTATCAAAAAATTCGAGCAATTAAACACAATTTCTCACCAAATCAAGTAATATTATAAGCTATTTTGTAATAGTGGCTTAATTAATTGGTTTAGGGGTTTTAACATCAATTTAAATAAAAATTAAATAAATTAAATTAAATAAAAAAAAAACTAGTACAATTTGACTGGACAAAGTAGAACTTGTGTTAAAGGGGTTTGGGTCATAGCTAGAGGTGTTAATGCGGGTGTCTAAGTCATGTTAGATAAAGTTGGGTCAAATCTATTTTTAAATTTAAATTTTTTTGGGGTTGGTGGGGTAGGTTCTTGACTCATCTAGTTACACCCGCCACAAGTGTCCAATAAGTCCAACCGGATTCCACCTCAAGACTATATGACAATGAGGAGAATAACTACACCTTAGCCTTATTATGTCGATACAACCTTTTCTCTTCTTCAATGTGGGATACACAGTACACCTCAGAACCCACTCCTAATTTTTATAATATAGGGCAATACTTTCACTACCAACACTAATATATTACTTCCTCCGTCCCATAATACATGAGACGTTGGACTATTTTTCACTATTCATGCATTAGGTTTGACCATAATTTTTTACTAACATAATAAAATTATATTTTATCATAAAATATGTTGTTAGATAGATTTTAATATAAAGTTTCATAATATAATTTTTAAAATAGTTTTCATTAATATTTAATTATATAAAAATAAAATCAAATTAGTGCATTGTCATGTGTGAAATGTTTGTTCACGGGCTCAACACCTTGAAAATATGGGATTGTCACGGTGAGACAGTGAGAGATGTTCTTCATTTAAGTAAATCCTTGATGCAACTACTAGCATTCTTGGCCAATATCATTGTCTTGTCCTATCTTTCATTACTTGATTAAGTCCATAGTATACTTTGTATTAATTTTCACTGATTTAATAGTCAATTAACTATTTTTAGGGTCATTTATGGCATGGGGAAGACCCAAGGACAGTAGACTTGCTAATCTTTTCCACTCATTTTACAAGGTAACACCCACATTTGAACATAAATCGACGAACAAACCATCGCCTGTGTTCCATGTTATTTTTCTTCCCTCTAACTCAATCTGTCATTCTCTCCTCCCAACAAACTACCACCGACTGAAGGCAAGGTTATACCGAAGTTAAAGTCATTTTTAAAAAAAAATTGGGTGGAGGTAAACGCCTATTTTTTTTTCCGAAAATTCGAGGGCTAGATACCCAAGTACGTTTTAATAATTAAAAGCTTAAAACTACCTAAATCGATCTGATCTATAATTATATGAATTCATCTATTTTTTTAAATTGAATTACGCTTCCAATTCAAGAACATAATACAATGGGTTTTTACAACAAAAACTCCAAAATTTAAATTATTTCTTTCAAAACTTAAAAACATAAATATTTAAATTCAAGTAATTTTGTAACCATAGAATGTTTATAAATATTTGTAACGTAAATTTTCAATCCAAATTAAATGCATTAAAATTATTTAAAACCACATAAAACTTTTTTTGGTTAAAATATATCCAATAGTTTATCTGGGCTGACGTGATTTGTGCATGCTCACCCATTTTCTTCCGTGTAATAAGTATTTAATAATTAAAACTACCTAAATCCGATTTATAAATTACATAAGTTCATCTATCTATTTAAAATTGAGTTAGGCTTCCAACTAGAGAACATAATAATACAATACAATGGGTTTTTACAACAAAATTTGCACACAAGTAATTTCTCTTCTTTGTCTAATAGACGTTTTGACACATGCCGCAGACAACGGTACTCTAGTTAACAAAATGTGCGGTGCAACATTTTCTCCAAAAGTATGCATTAGCTGCATAAAGAGCAATAGCAAGGACGCTCTTACGGACGTAGATGTCATCCATCAAATGCTTGGATAACGATACTTTAAAACTCATGCATGATATGGACAAGATTATCGATAAAAACTTGGCCGATTTGACGACGATTAATATCTTAAAAAGAACTCAAGCTAATTCTTACCCGCCGGTAATGTTAGCTATAGTTTATAAAGCGCAAGAAGAAGTTTCTATGAGGAAATTTAACGATGCTAAGACAACAATTGAAAGAGTTTACAGTTGTCTAAAGACAATGAATCATATCTTGAACAATTTTTATGACCGTCATGATTCTCGTGAGATTACTACATTTACATGGCCTCCTCTTATGTTTTCTGGATTTTTTAATGTTGAAGCTGATTATAAGATCTCTGATCAGTTGCTTGCTTCCGTCAAGGCTTAATTACATTCGTTTTTCAACTTACATTGTGCTATATATATAAGTTCAATGTCATCAATTAATGTTTTTTTTAGCAAGTATATTCATAAGCACTTGTTAATAAGCTGAACTAGTTTTTAGGCCCCTTTTACGCATGAACTGTGTTCAATTTATTTTTATACCATAAACATTTAAATTTAATTCTCTAATAGCACGAGAGTACTTTGTATCAAATAATTGAATAACACTTTGTTGTCATAATTTTACATTTGTACATCAATATACTTCTTATTTTTACTGAGCATTTATCATTTTACGCTTATCAATGCATTTCTTTGGTGATTAATATAGCTTTCGTTACATTTGAGTAAAAAATATTTTAAATTTTATATTTGAAAAGTAGACGTCTAAAAGTACAAATGGTGCAATAAAAAAAGTAGGGGAAGTATAAGAAATTACTGTTATTCTTCATCGTTTTATTTGTCTTTTCTTATTTATTTAATTTGTCACTTTAATTTATTTCCTTTTCGATCATCATGACATTCAACATTGCAGCAAGTTTAGAGAAATTTATCTATCTATCAGCTTGGGGTTTATTTTTATATATTTATTTTAGGCTGGTGATATGAAAGAAACTTTATTGAAATTATATTATATTATCGAAGTTGATGAGATGGTAAAGGTTCAACGAATAAATGACAAATTCAATTAAAACGAAATTGAAAGATGGAGAGAGAAGAGCAAAGAGGATAACATTAAGAAAATTCAATTTGTTGAGTAAAAAGTGAAGGTTATAGAAAATAAATAGTCATGAAAATAAAAGGATTGTTGATAAAGCTAAAAAGGAGAGGAGGACATATGATAGATTGGTTTGTGCTTTTATACTACTATATTTTAATTAATGTTGATGCGCATGACCGGCTCTTACACAGTGCAGCCCGTGCGGCTGCACATGACCCAATTGTTTTTGGGGCCTCAAATCAGTAAAAGATTACATATAATATGTACTGGCCTGGGCCATTAATTATGTATGGTTTATATGATTCAGTGGTTTACTGTCTTTAGATACTTTACAAAATTACAAGGGTTGGAGGTTCGAAGAATATGGCGTAGGGTCAACATATCCAAGTTTGGCTTCACAGTACAAGTGAAGAGCTGGACGTAGTTGTGGTATCACTATCAATTACGACAGTGATAGAATGTGGCACAAGCAACAACAATCCGTGTGTTCATCATACGACGAGAAGCATAGCAATTACAATCACAATAGGTATGTATTTAAATGCTTCATGTATTTTTTTTTTAAGATAAATTCATAATTCCATAAATATAGCTACAAACTTTTCTTGATTCGAATTTTTCATTACCTTTTGGTTTAAGCAGCTTTCTTGCAGTACATCATTGAGTTGTATGTAGCTTATTGACTTGATTTAGATTACACTCGGATTAATTACTCGTATTCATGGTTTAGGTGTTGGTGGTAGCATAATTGTAGTCGCCTTTTGGTTGTATTGGCTACATGGGAGAAGGCAGCTGTTAAAAACGAGAGGGATCGGAATTTCTTCCACCAAATATATATTGATCGTTCTTAGCAGCGTAACCGGCCATAAGAACAACTAACATCTCTTATTACAATCTACTATTATGATACATACCATAATTTTATTCGAAAGCAAAATACATTATTGCAACAAGCACACACTATATTATATTGAAATCCTAGTCCAATTAACATGAAAGATTGTCACCAGGAGAAACCCCAAAATCAGCACAATACTTCTTAAAAAACTGAATACGATCATTAGCTTGAGCTTGATTTTTGCCATTGCATTCAAGAGCGCCATTGATCGCTTTAATGGTAGCTCCGAAACCTTGGTTCATAACAGAATGAACATTGGTCATCCAGTACCACATTGCAGCCTTAAAGGCTGTATCTACATCAGTAGCCACCTTCTCAGGGTTGCCGAGTCCATTAAAATTAAGCGCCTTTCCTGCAGCACCGTAGTTGTAGTTCCACGACAGTTGAAGAGGTCCTCTGCCGAAGTACTTCTTCCCTGAAGCACAAGGGTATTGTGCTTCCTTTGTCGGATCGCAGTATCTATCGTTAACCTTTCCATCTTGCTCCTCTATGTGACAGAAATCTAAACAAATAACAGGTCGTTTTTCGTTTAGACTGTTGAAACAACAGGCCAATGATGCATATGATAATTGTAACTAACTATATATATGCACATGACTTTATTGACATACTCGAAGAAATGCCAAAAAAAAAAAGGAAAATTTAGTAATTATCACCTACTATACATAGTTCACGTTTTAATAATAATCCCCAATAAATTTTTTTTTCTTTTTTTATTTTACCACCAACAATTGCTCAAAACCTTAAATTTTACCACCAGTTTGCCCAAACACCCTTACATGACATCATTAACTTCAATTTCCCTCATTTTTTCCATTTTCTCTCGATTCCCCTCTAATGACAACCATAAGTTTGTTAATCATATCATGAATTTCAAGAAATTTGAGTTAGTTTTCCCGAATGCCTTATTATAATCAAATCCCCAATTTGATTCAAAACCCTGATTTCATTTCAAGACCCCCAATTATAATCAAATCCTCAATTACATTCAAGTATGAAGCTAAGAGAATGTTTATTGAAACCCTAATTTTGTTTTCTCTTTTCAATTTTAGGTTTTTACCCAAATTTAAGATAGGATAATATTCTTTGTCCAATGTCAAAAAAAAAAAAAAAAAAAAAGATTGGGTAATGAATAAAGAAGGAAAAACTGTTAGAAGAAAAGAACAGGGAAAAGGTAAGGGGTGGGGTCGAAAGTGGGGTGGGGTCCAAAATGACGTCATGTAAGAGAATTTAGGCAAATAAATGGTAAAGTTTAATGTTTTATTTAGAAAATTGTTGATGGCAAAATAAAATAAAAAATAATAATTGTTGGTGCAATTACTAAAACGTGATCTGAATTATAATAGGTGGTAATTATATGATGAACGACTTACTAGTAGTCTCATGTGAAACATGAGCAAAGAAGGCGGCGATTTCCTTCTTGTTTTCAGCACTAGAACCTGAGGTACCGAACTGTGGGAAAGCACCAACAGCATTGAGAAAAGCAGCGCGAGTGTAGAAGTTTTTCCCAGGACAGGACGCGGCAGCTTGGCCAATAATGCCATCAAAGAATGACTGAGTCACAATACCAGACACGGATGAACCAGAACCGCCACTACCTGGAGTCGTCGGAGTGGCCTGGCCTTCACAAGGGCCAGATTGACAGTTACCCTTACCACAATAAGGCTCCCCAGTGCCACAGAACCCAAACTTGCTGCAACATAAGTTTGGTGCACACCCACAATTTTGACCAAATATTGAGCTTGGTAACGACCAAAATAATGTGATGATTAAGGCCAAAGATAAGGTGTTTTTCAAAAGAAATGCCATTTTTGTTTTGATGAGAAAAATTAAGCAAATGTGTTAAAGTGTATTTATAGTTAAATTATACTTGGAAAAGTCTAGTAATTGTTTGACATTTACGTTTACGAATAATGCTGGTGAATTGAACACGGCAATAATGTTTCATATTTCTTTGATATGATATTATCTTATGTTTGGTTTGTCTCCACTGTATTTTTATCTTTGACTTATTAATACATGATAGTCCATGTTTATGTATTAAAATAAAACATGATAGTCTATGTTTGTCTAAAACTAAAGGTTGCACAGCTGTTTAAATTGACGATTTCTTACGAATTCCTTTTGTTTGAAGGAAGTAATGTAGATCCATACAAGCTGATGAACTAATTCAGGTTTTGACGAGACTCTAATATCGTCTCTATAATGGATTTTCGCTAAGATTGGATTTACCATTATAGTATTATAAACTTGTACAATATGTATAGTAGTACATAAGTAATAGTTGGCTCAAGTAGTAAGCAATTTGATGTCGCTTAAGAAAGGTCTTGGGTTCGAGCTATCATGACAATGCTCATGAACATTCTGAACTCTCACAAACAACCATCAATCTTTTATTAAGTACGGAGTGTTAAAAAAAATTATGAAAGATTGATAATGTTTTTAATACTCACATGATAATGTTTTTAATTGTACATTTTAATAATTGGTTAACATTATTAAGTTTGACCATTAAAAAAATAAAATAAAATAGGATAAAAGCTATAACACGTTACTTAGGCTGCTATATGTTACTTAAGCTACTTGTATTTTTCCACTTCACCGCAAAATGCTAAGATGTACGTATAATTATATAAAAATGAAATTGAAGTCAAATTCATGGACCTTTGATGCTTAGAACAAGTTTATCATCTATAGAATATACATATCAATATATTTTGGTAATTTTTATCTATTCATATCTACTAAGATGAGCTGAAAATACGCAAAATGTAAAATCGATTGTTAATTTATTCTTGTTCTTAGAATAAAATACCGATTTAAATTAGTTACAATGTACTTTGTATAATTTAGGCTTAATTAGAACTCTCCTCCTATGCAGGCTTGTGTTAAGTCCACCAAAGAATCTATTATCAAAGCATGGAATTGAAATTTTATGTTTTGCAAGCCTACTCGAAAAGATTCAATTTTTACCCGACCTAAAAGGTATTTACATATATATTCTTGAAAGGGGTATGGGGAATTTCTCAAATACGTACTTCAATGTTCTTTTTTAGTTGACACGCTTTGACTTTTAATATTATTTACAAACTTTAATTTGACTAACTTTTATGAAGAAAGTTATGATGAAGACAACCATGTGAGCTCTTGTTAGTATCGTCCCAAAGTATAAATTCATTATGGTGAGTAATTTTTACAAGTTGATAATTAGAGATATTAGTTCTTAAAATTGTGCGTTGGCAAACATGATAAAAGAAGTATTTCAAGTAAAACCGAACAGATTAAATAGAGAACTTAGATTTCGCTTTGCATATTCGAAAATAACAAAAATCACTTCAACCTTCTTTGCATTCTTGTTTGAACTAGCAGCCTTTCTTTTGTCCTTCATTTCCTGGTTTCCCCTTTAAGGGAAGTCATGTGGGGTTGAATATGTCACAAATCACATATATATATATATATATATATATATATATATATATATATATATATATATATGAAGTTTAGTTAAAAATCTGGTGCACGGTGTACCTTCTATGTGGTAAATGAGAAAGGGTCGGTCCATGAACTTTTGTGCAATTCAGCTTACGAGCAAACAAACGATTGGAGACCTTAATTCAATTTGGTCATGCATGGGTTATACATAATTCATCCTCATAAGAGTTGTTCATGTGAACATATAGCCTTAATAGGATACCGGTTTTTAGATAAATATCAAAAATTAGATCAACCAACCAAAAGTCCAAAGTTCATTATCATATTACTTCTACTCCCTATGTTTCCTAAATAATTGACACTGTCAAATTTAACACGTATGTCAATACACAAATTTGACCTTAGACATATATGATTAAATATTTGTTAAAAAATATTTAAAAAGTTGATTTTATAAAACTTATTAAAACCTATTTAAAAATAAATTTCAAAATAAATTTATTTTTAATATGTTATTAAGTACCGATGGTCAAAGTTAGTAGGTGAATAGTGAAAAAATTCAAATATGGACATTATTTAGGAATGGAGGGAGTATATGAATTATTCATTGTTCTTAACAATACTCATAAGAACAACATATCTATCCTATTCCTATCTAATAGTACGATTATATAACCTTATTATTGCAATAAACATGCTTATTGATTACATAAATACATCACATATTGAGCTACTTGTCTAATTAACATGAAAGATTATCACCAGGAGCAACCCCAAAATCAGCACAATACTTCTTATAAAACATAACACGGTCATCTACTTCGGGCTGATTATGGCCACTGCATTCAGCAGCACCATTGATCGCTTTAATAGTAGCACCAAAACCTTGGTTCATAACAGAGCGAACATTGGTCATCCAATACCACACTGCAGCCTTGAAGGATGTATCTACATCAGTAGCCACCATTTCAGGGTTGTTCAGTCCATCAAATCTAATCGCGGTACCTGCAGCACCGTAGTTGTAGTTGTATGAGAGTTGAAGAGGTCCTCTGCCATAGTACTTCTTCCCTGGTGTACAAGGGTATTGTACTGCCTTACTCTGGTCGCAGTAGCTATCGCTGACTTTTCCATCTTGCTCCTCTATGTGGCAGAGATCTATAATAGAAAAAACAGTAACAAACATATGATTGAGGTTGTTTTTCATTTTGATCAAGTTGGAAAAGAAACCATTCCATTTACTCAATTTTCACGAATATAATGAACTACATATACAAAGGCCCTGTTCACTTCACTTTCAAAAAATAATATTCAGTAAAAAATAATAATTTCAATATAGTAAAAATCAGTAAATTTAAACAAGAAATATGATAGAAAATTAGTAAAAACAATTTAAATTCAGCATAAATAAGGTGAAGTGAACAAGCCTTACTGGTAGTTTCATGGGAAACATGAGCGAAGAAGGCAGCAATTTCCTTCTTATTATCGTCGCTAGAGCCTGAGGTGCCGAACTGAGGGTAAGCATTGACAGCATTAAGAAAGGCAGCGCGAGTGTAGAAGTTTTTCCCAGCACAAGACGGATCAGCTTGTCCAATAATGCCATCAAAAAATGCCTGAGTCGCAATATCAGACACTGATGCATATGAGGAAGTTGGGAACGATGAAATTATAGAGATAATTAGAGCCAAATATAAGGTGTTTTTCATAAGGAATGTCATTTTGATTTAGGTAGTTTTGTTTTGATGAGAAGATTAATTATGTGGGATGTATGTATAAGGGTGTATATATAGTTAAAATTATGTAGAGTAAGTCTAAGTGGAGATTTGAAATGTAAGCACTTTCTGTTGCTGGTTGATTGAATGAACACGGCAATGACTACTATAGTACAATTCCTTGTACCCCATAAAATCGTTCTGTAAAAAAAATTGTTCATGCACTCTAATCATCTTTCTCTCTCTCAATCACAAGATTTAAGAAAAATCCAATTATACTAAATCTATTCCTTATCATTTGTATCAATGAAATTTATTATGCCCCAAATGTTCATGATCATATTTGCGTAGTTACAATAAACAGGAACAATTTCAAAGCGTGGTTGTTTTGTGGAAATAACATATTATAAAAATGCAACAAACATAGCTATAGTGAAAAGAACATACTATTAAAATGTAATAAACATATACCTAAAGTGAAAATAACATATTTGCGCCAAAAAAAGAGTGAAAGTGCATATATCCATGTTCTTTGATTGTCAGTGTAATGTATTTTTATTTGTGACATAATGTTTTTACTTATTGTGAAATGTTTTTGAAAATACAATGAATTTAAGTACGAAAATGACTCAACTCATAGAATAAGATTGACAGTATAAACTTTCACATTTGTCAAAAATAGCAAAAGTTTATAATCTTCTACAGAATATGCCAAGCCAGATGGCCTAGATGCTTCAATTCATGGTTCTTCATCAGTTACAGTCCATAGATGATCCAAAACAGCCAAGTTGAAGTGCATACAATGAATTCAAGTGCAACATTACAAGTGCAACATTTGCGACGTATTTGTACGGAAAGAAATTTCAATTAGATTAGTTGTGTGAAAAGACTATTAAGTTGATCAATAGATAAATCCTCGAAAAGAAATTACTGAAATAACGAATGATAATTTAAACGAGAAGATTGCAAGCCTGTAACACGACACACAAAGAAATTGGATTTCTACCCCCATGTCATTTAAAACAATTTCGCTTAGGCTCACCAAAATAAGGTATACATAATTCAAAGGGGTGGAGCAAATTTCAGAGATAGTTAGCAAATTACTCCTCTTAGAAGAAGCAACCTTCTTTGAACCTCCTGCTTTCTAATCTGAATCATCCGCCTTTCGTTTGCCCTTCCTTTCCCGTTTCTTTAGAGAAGCCATATGAGTATGAGCTTTCAGGATGGTTGCCTATGAATGAAGAATGAAATCGCTTGTGTTCCTTGGGACCCACCTGATAGAAAAATCAATGTTGAAAATTCATCAGCATAATTCAAGAATTAGGCAACACCTCATATACTAAAACCTTAGAAAACTAAAAAGTATAGAGTCAGTTTACTTAGAAATATCAAGCCTCCTAATAAAATAAAACCAACCAAGTTGCTCCTTGTTAATTTTTCTTTCATTAGTCTGGTACTTAATAGAAAAAATCAGCGCGTACTTGCCTATAACATGGTAGATGGTTTAGCTATCGGAGTTGCTAATTAGTATAAACTAGTCTTGATGCAAATACCAAACAACACAGCAAAAAAGTTCATAGCCCCATAGTTCATAAGCCACTGGCAAATCCAGAGGAATAATATCCATGTCAATTTGAAATCTGGCTTTCTCCTGTATTCATCTTCATCTAGTTGAAGACTAAGTTAGGATTACCAAACAATGCTAATTCTATAGTTCTATACCTTAAAGATGAAAGAGGTAATTATCATTCATAATAAATGAATGCCCATCATGGAAAACGATATAACAAGGTAGCCATATGCAAAAAGGTGAACGAACATAATGTTAAACACCACAGGGAGTTTCGCCTAATATGTCCTGTTCGTCATAACAAAGTCGTGTGTTTTGTTCACATTTCTGTAGTGCAGACATTTCATCAGCAAGTCAGCAACTAAGGGTGATGCATACATTCATTATAAATGACAGAAAATCCACATAGCAAAACGTAAATACTACAAGATTTTGATTATTAAGAGCAGCTAATATGACCAATAATGCAATATAACTTGGCAAGACATAACAGGATTCGCAATAAATCAGAGATATATCAGGAGTATAGAAATTTTCCAAACAATCAATTGAAGGGGACCAGGGGTCATGAAGCAATATTAGTTCACCACTTCACCTTGTAACAAGCAATATTCCAGTGTTACACCATACACCTTATTTGTTTAATCTTCACTGCTGTTAATATTACTCAATTGGATATTACAACACACCCTCAAATACATTAATCAAAACATATCACCGCAGATGTACTCGTTCAGTTTGCACTGCTCTATTTCAATAATCAGATGCACATTCGGTTACAATATTTTGGGACACTTGCGCAAGCACTAATATACTATAGAAAGGACCAGACTGTGAGGTGTGGTGGTGCCTATACGGTTGCTAAAATATTACTCAATGCTAACTTTCTTTCTGGTTCAAAACTTCAAATGATAGGAGTAAAGAATAGTATTTTCAGAAATGAAATGAAAGAAAAAAGGATTTGAAAAATATTGACAGAAATGTATGGTAAATTCAAAGTCATCTACAATCCTACAAGATGTCGCAAAATTTCAATTAACATAGTTACTGTACTACGGAGTAATTAAATTTTCCCTCCTAGCACACTTGCACAGTCGCACCCCAGCCACTGCTACTGTGTCAGGGAGACCAGAGACACAAAGATTTTTAAAAAACATAAATTGGAAGCATACCTTTGAATATTAATGTAACACTACCCATAAGCTAATATTCACATCATAACTTTAACCTTGATATTACCTCAATCAAATTTTTAGCCACTATAAGTAATTCTTTTTTAACAAAATTGAACATAACATATGCCAATCTGATAAATGTTAAGGTAATGACTGATATCCCTTTCTTTCATTTGCATTCCCGTAAAATATTACATTTCCAATAAAGATGCTAAAAGCTTGCTGTTTGTTATTTAAAGCTGTATAAATCAGTCTGATGGAGAGAAAAATCCTGGCCTTCCTAAACACATCAATGCGTTTTAGCTAATTGGAATGTCATCATTCCTTGACCTTTCAGGATTTTTTGAGAAAGAGGTGAGAACACTGATGAATCTCTAGCCTAATTCTACTCTAATGTGAAGACAGTATACACAAAAGAAACTTAGTAAATAGGAGCTAATGGTTGCTTGTTAACTGTTTGCAGGATGTCTCCAAAAGGAAGATCAGATTCACTTTCAATCTTTCGCACATAGAGTTGCTTGAGAGAATTGAGGATATCGTAACAGGAATGGGATACTCAGTTCAGAAAAAAAAATAGGAGGGTAAGTTCTAACAACCTTTTAATTAGACCCCTCAAATTCCTTTTACTAACAGAATGGCCACATATTTGGTCTACAGGTTGAATTTATTTACAAGTATTTTTCCTGAGTTTCAAATTTATTTGTTTCAGCCAAAAGTGGTGCAAGGAAAAAGTGATCACAGAGGTCCAGGAAGTCTTTCAGTTACAGCAGAAGTAAGTATAATTCTCGCTTACTGGACAAATAGCTTCAGTCAAGCATATGAAACAAGTAAACAAATCATCCAACAATCCCTGCTCACTTTCTTTCCATGATGTTGCAGGTTTTTGAGATTAGTCCATTGCTATATGTCGTTGAATTGAGAAAAACTTGTGGAGATTCTTTAATTTATCGACAGGTTAATGTCTATCTCCCTCTGTATTATCAAGATATTTTGGCATGTATTGCTTCTACATTGTAGAACTAACAAACTTTCTCTGTGCAGTTATGTAACAAATTATCAAACGACCTCGGTGCATCAAGAAGCCATGAGTTGTTAAGTGCAGCCATATTGAGTGCACAAACAAAAGAGGCTTCAAATATGTAAGAAATATTTCTTTTAAAATTTGATTTTGCATCCTATTCCCTGTTTTTGGCATGGTTTTTCAATTAGTTGTTGTAACTAAGTTTGTCACCAATATTTCCTGCTCAAAGCAATTCATTTCACACTACCAAAATAGCCAAATCCCAAAAAACATCAGCATAAGAGCACAGAGTGGTTCAGCTGACTTAGAGACATGTAAAAAAGCTTGACCAATTAAGTGCAACTTCATAGCAAGGTTATGATTCTATTGTATAATGTACATGACTTTCATTCATGTACACATACACACCCCATTAACAACAGCAGAAATTTCCCAAAATATTCTAGATAGCCAACCATCTAAAGTCATCAACAAGCTAACATAAATAACCACTACCAATCGGAATTACACATACCCCCCAACAACACATAGAATCAAACTTAGCTCAAACAAGAACAGAATGATCAATTTGCAGAATATAGTAAATTATTATACCTAAACCTTGATTTTCTTCAATTTCTTCTCTGATGATTTCGACGAAACCTTAACCTTCTTCTCCTTCAAACCCTTCACTCCTTTCTTCCCTTTTGCTATTTCCTTCACCTCCTTTTTATCTCCCTTCTTCCTCTTCTTTCCAGCAATTTTCTCACCACTCACTACAATATTCTCAACCGCCATTACCTTCTCCTCCTCTACATCATCATCGACTTCGCTCCCCGATTCATCTCCCCCTACCATCCCACCAGACTCAACACTATCCATATACCACACCTCATGAATCCTCCCCTTCTTTTTACTCACCTTCTCCTTCAACTTCTCCTTCCTTTTCTTCAAGACGACCGCCTTTTCATCCCCATTTGCATCACTCGCCGTAATCAAACCACTAATCTTAAGCCCCAAATCCGGCACCTTCTGATAAACCGGCAACGCCAATGATTCCGAAAACTTCAAATGAAAAGCCCTCACATTCCCCCATTTCTTCGGCACTGTCTCGGCAACCCCATTAACCGCCGCAACCACATTCGCAACGATCTCATCCCTCGACATCGAGCCTTTCGCCACCTTAATCACACTGCAAGTTCCTGTACTCAAATACAACATTGCTGAACTACAAACCCTTTCAATCTGTTCTTTCCAATTACCTCTACCCAACTCAATTGGCACCGGAATCTTCTTCTTCTTGTAAAATTGCTTCCCAATTGCATTGGGTAAAAGTGGGATAATCCTCTTATCAGCAAAAAACAGGTCAAAAGAATCACAAAGCTTCCTCTTCTGCTCAAACGCTTTGTAATCCTTCTTCAACTTTGAGAGCTTAATCACCTTGGAAACTGGAACCCCACCTTCTTCAACCTTCAGTTTAGCGGTTTTGGAAACGCTGTCATGAACAAAGAGGCAAAACTCAGAGGTTCCTGGGGTGTAAAGGGCGTTTGGAAGAGCGACTTTGTGGGCGTTAGTGCGGTTTTTAGGTGGGATTTTGTTGAGGGTTAGAACTAAGTAAAGAAATTCATCAGAAGGAAGGAGTTGGGGTTTATCAGAATCGGAAACAGAGGATTTCCATTTGAGGAGAGCATCAACAGCTTTTTGGATTGCTTGAATTGAGACCTTTAATGGCAGCGCAATTGACTCCATTGTTGAACTTCTGAGATTTTGGGGAAAACGGCGAGAGAAAGAGAAAGGTTTAGGTTTGAGGGTTTAAAGTTGGGGTTTTAGTGTAGTGATTGTAGATTATTTTGTAGTATTGGATCCGACCCGTGTGTGATCTGACCTAAAACAGCATTGTGAGACCCGACCCAATAATCCTAGTCACTGTCGGGTTGGACTTGTTGAGGAGGTGTAAAACCCATCGATAGATTGACTCGACCCAAAATAATCCAACCTAAGTGCAATTAGAAATTTTTAATCGAATGTGTTAAGCAAGACTTCAATTTGATTCGTATCCTTATAAATTTTACTACATTACGTATTTACTTTTGTGGATGTTTGATGTTTAATGTACGATTATTTTTAATTGTGTATAGTATAATACGGGAAATACATTTTGAAAATGAGACAACTTTTGAGTTGAAGAGTTTTACATTGTTAAATTAGACTATCGGCATAAACGACCACAAAATCTAAAATCCTGAAAGAGGAACAAAAAGAGAGAAAAGAGGAGTAGAGAAGGCAGCTCATAAGCAAGCTAAAAAATCTGAACATAACTTAGAAACTAACCAGTGTAATTACTTAGAGCACCCACAATGGTGGACATTATTTTTGCTCATGGGCATTTTGGTGGGCAAGCTTGTGAGACATTGGGTTACAATGGTGGGCTTAATATTAGTTGCCAATGGTCATGTGTAAAAATGCCCAAGACTTGGCAGAAATTCAAGTGAATAGTTATTTGGTGGGCCCCATATATAGCTGATTAAAATGAAAAAACTTTGGTGGAGAAGGCATTAAAACAGTGCGTTTAATGTTGCACGCAAGAAGAAGCGAGATCAAAACGGTGCGTTTTGATCTGGGGTGTCTGAAAAAAAAATTAAAAAAGTGTCCTGACGCGCGGCAGACCAAGGGCGAATCTTGGAGCGACACGTGGTAGGTGCAGGAAGCTGGCCAATAGGAATATTCTAGTTGTTGGCAACGGTAATATTGTTTGTAATTTAATTTCTGAAATAAATATTTATAAAAAAAAATACCAACGGTCATAAAATTTTATTCTCTATAAATAGACATGCATATTGCTATATTTAGGTATAATTTTAGAAATACCATAAATCCTTCTTGCTTTTTAATTTTCCTAGTATTCCTAAATTATAGTTATTGTTGCTGTTTTTGACCAAAATTCAGGTAAATTAATTTTTTTTTATTAGCTAAATTCAGTTAGTAATTAATATTGTTAATTACGTTTTTTTTTAAAAAAAATTAAAAATGTAGTATTATGGTATATGCAATTTTGGGTAATGTATTAAGGTATTGCAAGTATTTATTTATTTATATTTAGAAAATTGGTGTTGTTTTGTTCATATATTAATAATGCGAATTTAATGTACTAATATGGTATTTGGAATTTTGTGGGTAATGTTATTTTCATTTTGTAAATGCTTAATTACAATATTTTTGTTAATTTATATGAGTTTGATTTAATTTTTAGGTAGTTAATTATGTCAAATTATATTACTGGATACTTTATATTTTTTTAGATTGTTGAACTCTTTAATTTTTTACCATGGTTGCTGTATTTTTTATAAAGTTTGTGGTATTATGTTCAACTAATTTTTTTTTTTTTTGGTCATTATAAATTGTTGTTTAAATTTTTAGTTACAATTGTTGCAAGTAGTTTAATTTTTGTTCATATGTTGTAAGTGTGAGGTTAATTTAATAAATGTTTAGTTACAATTGTTGCAAGTAGTTTAATTTTTGTTCATATGTTGTCAGTGTGAGGTTAATTTAATAAATGTATTCTAATATGGGTATTAAAAAAAGTTGTAAATATTAGCTTAATTACAGTTTTTTTTATTAATTTATATGTTTTTTTCCTGTGATGCAGATTATTTCAATGGATCCAAACAACCTAAATTTTCGTCAACAATTTTTCCGATTTTAGTGATGATTTCATAACTAATCCCGAGTTTCAAATGTTCTTGCGAAGAATGGGAAATACATCTCTGCATCCACCTCCACAACATGAGACATCTACTCAATTCCCCTACGAAAACAATGACAATGAAGCACGTATGCCTGTAACTGATGTTGGTACCAACACCCAATTCGATGATAGTCAGGATGAAAACATACTGGAGACGCCACAATATCCTCCACAAGCTCCTAGAATGCAAGCCAACCAGGTTGTTGCACGAGCGACTTGTATTTGGTCTGTTGCGGAAGATGAAGCTTTGATTGGGTTGTATTTACAAATTAGCGAAGACGCTAGTGTAGGTACGAACCAGAAAGCTTCTGACCTATGGCGCAATGTCCACGCTGCCTATCAAAGGGCTCAGGCGGAGAAGTCGAATGTACTTCCGCCTAGACCTATGAAGAGTTTGTCATCGCACTGGAGAAGGCTAGCAGCAGACACACTACAGTGGATATCTTGTTATGATGAAGCGGGTAGACTTTCCGAGGGAGGTAGTGGGTACAACGAAGCTGATCGAGTGAAAAGTGCATCTAAGTTGTTTCATTTGGCCACCGGTCACAATTTTACTTTTCCTCACGCAGTTGAACTGCTCAATCAAGATCCAAAATGGAGGTCAAAGCTGAGATGGGCCTTGTCAAAGGAGGAAAGAAAAGTTGTGTGTGCTGTAAAGGAGGAAGGAAGTGGTGGTAGTGGTAAGAGGTCGAGGGATGATATTGAAGGTGATGATACACCTGCCGATGGTTTTTCATCTGGAGGATTACGTCGGCCCGATGGTGTGAAGAAATCAAAGGCCAAACGGAAAGGAAAAGTCGTAGCTACGGACAGCGGTTCTTCTAACCTTAGCGAACGGATTAAGGTGTTCTCTACAATTTAAGAAGAGAAGATTAAAATGGAGAAAGAAAAGGAGCCGAAAAAAAGAGAGGAACTTGATATTCACAATATGAGAACCATATTCGATATGCTACAAACTCTGAAGAACTCGCCTACGCCCTCAAGAAGAGGCGTACAAGAATATTATGCTAAATAAATTAGAAGGTTTATAAACATGTCCTTGGTCTGAGTTAGTATTAGTCAAGTATTTAATTATGCGTAGTTTTATTTAAGTGTGTTTAATTAAGCATATTGTAATATTTTATTTCAGTATTTCTATTTTATGTCCTTATAGAATTACAATGTAATGTGTAAACTTGTATTCTGATTTTCCAATATTGAATTACAAGTTGGTTTCATTTTAGTTATGGAGTAATCACTTCTATCTTTAATCATGTCATTGAGTAGTCACTTCTCTATTATCATCATTTGTATCATGGAGTAGTCACTTTAATCATGTCAGTGAGTAGTCACTTTTTCTGATTGATTTACTGTCCTTGTAAAATTACTTCTACCATTGCTTTTTCTGATAACCTATTATGCTTAATCCATGGCTGAAAATTTGATACCTTTACTTGGTGTGGTCAATTATATTAGTAACCACATACTCATTTTTCACATTTCTTTATATATAGTGAACAGGAAACCTTTCCATAAACAGATACACATCAACTCATAAACTTCTAGCATTATTCCAGACCATCATCCAGTTCAAGTTCATCTTCTTCAAATAATGAAGAATATGATGAACTCGTTGATGCAATGTTCTCATTCTTGCCCCCAACTTCCCTGATGCCCCACACACAATCCCAATCCCCTACAGGAACACACAGAGGGGATACGAACAAAAGAGATAGGGAAATGGGACATGCCAGGTTGTTTAATGATTATTTTTCAGATAACCCTGTGTACAACACCAACCAATTCAGAAGAAGATTTCGGATGCAACGACCTCTGTTTGAGCGTATTATGAACAAGGTTGTAGAAGGTGATGTTTACTTCAAGCAGCGTAGGGATGTAGCTGGAAGGTTAGGCTTATCTCCTCTGCAAAAATGCACAGCCGCAATAAGAATGTTAGCCTACAGCTTGGCTGCAGACGTTGTCGATGAATATGTTTGAATCATTCAGTCAACCGCTCGAGTTTCCCTTCAACGTTTTTGTGCCAGGGTCATTCAGTAGTTCGGCACCGAGTACCTACGCAACCCTACAACTGACGATTTGGCCCGAATACTGCATCAAAATAAATTGCGTGGTTTTCTAGGGGTGATTGGCAGCATTGATTGCATGCACTGGCCGGGAATAAAAGAACTGTCCAACGGCTTGGAAAGCGCAGTACGCCGGCAGAAATAAAAAAGCAACGCTAATACTGAAAGTCGTTGCGGATCAAGATTTATGGATATGGCATTCATTTTTTGGTATTCCCGGATCTTGTAATGATCTTAATAAGGATAAAATGTTCGCTGACCACCAGGCTGCTGCTCGGAAGGACGTTGAAAGAGCATTTGGTGTTCTACAAGCTCGATTTGTAATAGTACGGGTCTACTGGTACTTGGTCGGGGGAGCATCAGTCAGATTTGAGCGCCCCCATGTACTCGTCGGGTAGAGTGCCTGTATCTGACGATGAGGACGACGATGAGCGAGCTAGTCATGCTAGTCGAGATTCAGAGTACGACCCTCAGGATTACCGTACTGTGTATAGGGGTGACCATGGGAGATATGGTAGTAGTAGTGAACCAGTTCAAGGTTCTACCAGCTCGTCTGAGTCATGGGTTGTTCAGGGGTCGATGCCAGGTGGGCCTGAGGATGGTACTGTCATTCCTAGTTTTAGGGGTCACGTGGCTGCATATCTATGGGGTGGCCAGGAGCGAAATGTTCTGCGGTGTTTGAGCAGGACACAGTTGTGTACTGAATTGGGTAACTGGCGCGCTCGTCTTCTACAGGAGCACCTGGAACTGATTGATGGCAGTGATCTATCTCACTTACCCGGGATCATGTTCCGGCGATTTGACTGGCCCCTGATTTCTGCTTTTGTTGAGAGATGACAGCCAGACACGAACACGTTTCACATGCCATTTGGGGAGATCACGATCATGCTGCATGATGTGTATTATATTCTAGGGCTCCGTGTCGACGGTTCCATGGTTTCCACTACTCCTAGCACGGACGTTTTACGGGACGCGTGCTCGATTACCTTGGATATGACTGCGGAAGAGCTAAATGAGAAGTGCGGTACTAAAACCGTATGGCAGGGTAGTGGGGTGCTGACTGAGAGGATAGTGGAGTCGACCTTGGAGGCGCAGAGGCCCTTCAGTTTCCATTACAAGGCGTACCTGTGGTTAGTTCTTGGCGGATGTTTGTTTCTGGACAAGAGTGGAAACCGTACTCATCCTTCCTTCCTCAACGAGGTTTTTGTTGAGGATGGTCAGATTAGTGACTACTCCTGGGGTTCTGCTGTGCTAGCATACATGTACCGGTAGTTGGGTACAGCGTCACGAAAAGATGCTGATTCTATCGCCGGCTGTCTTACGCTTCTGCGGGCATGGATCTACGAGTACTTCCCGTGTTTTCGACCTCAGCAGGGGACCTTGACCAGAGAGCTTATTGTTCCTCGTGCGTCCGCTTGGGATGTCGGATCGGGGTGCCCCAACAAGAGCATGGAGCGCCTCCTTGCTTTTCGTGCTAGGTTGGATCATATGACTGACAATGAGGTGAACTGGCTACCGTACGGAGTTGATCCAGCACGACGTGTGCCTGCTACTCTTTTCATTGGCTGCATCCAGTATCGTAGCATCATTGAGCCATATATGCCTGATCGAGTGGTTCGACAGCTTGGATACGTCCAGGGCATTCCACAAGCCATCATCAGGCCTGAGAAGGCAAAGAGGCCGACGAACTTGAAGATGTATCGAGTTGAATTTCCGTCAGAGATGACATCTGTGATGTGGACTCGGTTTGTCCCCGGTGTGTCTTTTAGTGTCGTGATAGGTGCCCTGAGCAGACTTGGTGGTGGTGCTCCTACAGTCAGTCTTGGGTACATGCAGTGGCTGTACCGATTTTCTCATCCTCGTGTTTCTCCAGTTGCGCCATCGCATGAGAGTCGCACACTGCCAGAGAGAACTAACACGGATTACGTAAGTACTTGTGTTTTTTGGATGTGTAATTATGATTAGAAAAACTTGTGATTTATTTAATATGTTATTTTTTAATTGCAGTGGATGGGTCGGTCCATGGAGGTCATCAACAGGACACTGGAGGAGTATCCGAGCTTGTCGCATGATACAAGAGTAATGGCTGAGGCGCTATGAGCTGATTGGAGGGCGATGATGGGGTTGTGAACTTGCTGTTTTTAATATTTATTCGTCATGTACTTTAAGGATTGAACAACTGTTTTTGTTTTTTTGTTGAAACTTTGTTTAATTAAGTTAATTTCGTTACAAATTACATTTCTACAACTGTTCATCATACATGCGTGTTACATCAATAAGTTCATTGTCTAGTTAACGCATCCCACATGTTCCTTCTAGCTACATAACGGTGATCCCAACCTTCAACACTTGGTTCGCGGTTCTCGGTCCACCAACCTGCAATAGGGGGAAGTGGTGAATCTGGTGCAAGTTCAAGCAAGATAAAATGTGAGGCAGAAACTGTAGCGATGACAAACTCCCGTTGTGGTACCGTGACTCCCCTTCGTGTCCGCAACGGCAAGATAGTGAGACATGGGTACAAGCAGGTTGGTACGGTGCCTACACCAAGAATAATAACCATTGCGTTGAACCAAGTAGCAATGGGAAATAAATCTTAAATTGCAACCATCCAATGACGAGCATCAACCGTCCCACCGTCCCATCGAATACGCTCCACATTTATCTGAAGCCTTCCATGCTCGTAAATCCTCTCGTACAGGGATGGATAGCGAAGGACCTCATTTTCTATTGTTTCTCGAGCGTCATACCATCGACCTTGATCACCAAAGAAGAACTCAGCGACACAAGGAAAGCTGCAGTTACCATCGCCAATGACATCCTTCCACCCTGTGATGAAAGGTAACATCGGACCTGGAAGCAAGTGTCGATACCGGCTTTGGGTGATGTCTGATTCATATTCTGAAAATATATAGGGTTCAGTTATTAGTACAAGAACTCATGAAAAACGATTAAACCCACAATACCAAATCATACCTCCTTGTCGTTGACCAGATTGACTGTTTCGGCGATTCACATGTTCGAAATAAGACCGATCACGTCTTGTATCGTTCCTCTGTGGACCACGCACCCTATGGTTGATATGAGGTTCTTGGAGGTTATCATGATCCGGATGTAGCTCTTCCTCAATGATGCGTGTCACATTTCGTAGAACAGCATTATCACTACCAAGTACCTCGTCCATCAGATTTCGAAAATGTGTGGCGTCCTCGGTCGAGTCATTACCGGACGCTGGTACATCATTACCATTACCTATAACCAAAGTCTTCCAGAACAGGTGAATTTGTCTACTATACAAGCCAGTCTCTCTAGCTAAAGACTCATGTATCTGACAAGCACATGGCAAACCATGGGTCACCCGCAATGCGCATCCGCAACGCTCATACACCTGATAACTCAGATCCCTCATCCTTTTCGTCTCCTTGTCGAGAATCTTCAAACAATGCTGAGACACCTTGCCGTTAATACGTGACAATGGCAATTGTTGGTACTTCTGACCAATCTTCGACCTAGATGCCTCCAAATCATTACGAATAGTGATGATCTGATTACCAATGTGACAATGAACTCGGGCCCATACGGTATCCAAAGAACCTGCACATTACCAAAAACACGTTATTATTTACAACAAACATAAATACAACAAAATACATACATCAAATACAACAACCAAAAACGAACCTGTCGAAGAATCAAACCACATCTTGACGGCCGAATGCTGGCTCTCAACTCTACATGTGCTTGTGTTGCCATAATGAAGAACTTGGTTTGTCCAAAATTTCACAAACTTCGTTTTATACAAAGACAAGTCCTCTCAACATACTCTATCACCTTTGGATAACTTGCCCATTTCAGTTTCATTGTCTCTACAGCAGCCTCATAATCCTCCTCGGTTGCAGCGTCCATCACACGTTTCCATCTCACGTTTTTGAATGTCGCACCGACCTTTTTGCTTTTGAACATATCAGTGACACGAGCCTCAACATCTTTGTTAATGTGCCATCGACAAAGTAAGTGCGAAGTCCCTGGAAACACTTCCCTCAATGCCGCAACTAGCCCCAGCTCACGATCAGTCAAGAAAACCGACGTTTCCTTATCAAACCCGATCAAGTCTCTTAATCTCTGCAAAACCCATCGATAGCTTGCCATGCACTCGTTGCGCATGAAGACGTAACCGACGAGGAAATTTTGATTTGTCGGTGTCACACCAACTATCTCAAAGAACGGCATTCCGTATCGGTTGGTCTTGTATGTGGAATCCATACCGATCACATACGGGTACGTCCGTAGGATGTCTACCATGACTGGATGCGCCATGAAGGTGTGCTGTAAAACGCCTTGATCATCAGACAATACCCAGTACACATACTGACTCTGTCTAGCCAAATGTAGAAACTGCTGAACAACTCCTCTCCCATCTGACATCTCAGTTCTGAAGTCATTTCGGCAGTTGTAGATGTGTCTGATGTTTGGATGATCCTGAGGAAATTGCTCGACAATAGTCGCCATGATGTTACGCGGTGCTACCTTAGACTTGGTCATGTTACGCACAACCTGCTTCGCTTCCGGGCTTAACCCACTTATTTTACGATGCCCCTATGGATATGCAATCATTGGATGGTTGTGGGTCCCAGTTACATCATTTTTCTCCGTGATAAACCAACTATCGGTGACAAAATTGTAAGATATCTTGATGTAGAAAGGACAACCATTGGCTTTGGTTTTCGTGTCCTTCCTTATTGCGTTCTCAAGATCTTCGGCTTACTTCTTCATCCCTGATCACATCTCAAATATCGATATGGTCGACCATCTCTGTTTTTGTTGAAAGACACTTTCACCAAAATAAATCCCAAATTAATGGAAACAGCATCCACCCATGTAACTGCTTCATCAAACGTTCGAAAAACCTTGTCTGTCACGAAATTTGCACTATGATTCACACCGTCACCGCCTTCTTCAACCTCCGAATCCTTTAACAATAAACCAAACAAATGAGGCAAATATTAGTATTATAAATTTAATAATAATACTAATATTTTTATTAATAACAAAAAAAATAATAATAATAAAAAAAATAATAATAACAAAAACTATAATAACAAAAATAATAACAACAACAACAACAACAACAACAACAACAACAACAACAACAACAACAATAATAATAATAATAATAATAATAATAATAATAATAAAAACTATAATAACAAAAATAATATTAATAATTATAATAAAAATAATAATATAAATAATGGTAACAACGATAGTGATAATAATTACAATAACAATAATCATGCTAACAACAACAATAACAATATTATTAATAATAAAGATAATAACAATAATAAGAATAATAACAACAACAACAACAATAATAATAATAATAATAATAATAATAATAAAAATAAAAATAATAATAATAATAATAAAAATAAAAATAAAAATAAAAAAATAATAATAATAATAATAGTAACAAAAATAAAAATAATAATAATAATAATAATAATAATAATAATAATAATAATAATAATAATAGTAATTCACTACAATAATCATACTAACAATAACAATAACAATAATAATAATAATAATAATAATAATAATAATAACAAAAACATTAGTAATATAAACATAATTAATAATAATAATAACTAACACAATATAATAATACTAAAAAAAAACAAAAATTATATTACGATTTTTAAAAAAATGAAAAAAATAAATAAATTCAAATTACACCACTTCCGCCCAATTTTTTCGGATCCTTAGGGGAGGATCCGCCTAAAAATCCGGAAGATCCATCTAGGATCCGGATATTCCAGGCGTATGTGGGGATCCGCTTGGAATTTCCGGATCCTAGGTGGATCTTCCGGATTTTTTAGGCGGATCCTCCCCTAGGATCCGGAAAAATTGGGCGGAAGTCCATAAAAAAAAAATTTTAAAAACTACGACTTACAGATTCTTCTGACGACTGCTCCGACATACTAACGTTGTCGTCGCTCATCGTGAATAGTGGGCCCCAACTTACACACTCGGGATTTAAAAAATGGTCGGGATTACCGTACAATGGTGGGCTCGGGTTTTTTTTGTGGCTCGGGATTTTTTAAAGACAAGTGGGGGGTCGGGAATAATATTTAACTTTTTACTAACTAAAGTGACTCATGGTGGAGCCTTATATAGAAATAAAACACTCAAGGGCAAAATAGTCAATACACATAAAAATGGGAGCGTCACCCTGTAATTTGCGAACGACGAATAGCAGTCTATTTATTTTTGCCCACAATTGAGAGTGGTCTTAATAAAAAAAATGTTACCCCCTTCGTGTTTTAATAAGTGCTACACTTTGATCGGCACATAGTTTTAGGCAATTTAATTGACATAAATAAAATAAGAGGTAAGTGGGGTAGTTGAAGTATTAAAAAATTACAAAATAAAATGATAGTGGGTTAATAATTTATTGAAAAGTAATGAATGTGAAATGAGAGAAATAACAGTAAAAAAAATAGTAATTGATTTGGATGGAACCATGAGATAAGAGACATATAATATTAAAATATACTATTTTTTGCCCAAAAAAAAGAAAATGTAATATTTATTTAAACACGGTCACATTTAACAAGTGTATTAAAACACGGAGGAAGTATCGGGTTAAAGATATCAAAATTACGTAATGTTGAGAAAGGAAAAGCACAGAAAAGGATATAGAGTACAATTTAGCTCAGGCAAGTTCACTTCAGTTCAGAGTAGACACAACACAACACAACCTTGACGAATGCTAATTGCAAGTATGTCGATTTCCATCTGTTCTACGCCAATTCCCAATCTTCTTCGCAACTCCATTGTAAGAATTTTTAATTCTACCCCTTTTTTTTCAATTCTTTATTTTTTTAATGTACTATTAAGGCAACCTTATCTTTATTGTCAGTTTTTATTAATCATTATTATGCACCAATTTGTTTAAGTGGGTGTTCTTATTTTCACCATCATAATAATGAATGAACTTGTATTGAACTTAATTGAATAAATTCTAAAGGGTTACTGATTTTTTTGCATTTTATGAACTTATCGCTACTTGCAAATTTCAAGTGTTGAATGAAGTTCACAACTTTTGTTGGAATGATTTTGTAATTTTGTATAAAATTATGTTATTTGACAATCCAAATTGCATTATAATTACTTTGGTGTGAACAAATGACACATTATCACCTAATCAATCTAATACTTCTAGGATTTCAATTCCAACAACTGAAATTTGGATAGTTGATTTTGGAACTACTATGTGTGAGAAGCAATTGGTTATTTGGTCAATTAATAGACCCAAATAAGCTTCTGTGCTTTCATGCTGTGTGGGAAATACTGGGTGACTCGATACCGGGTTTTATTCGTACCAGAGCATCAAACCTAACAGATAGTATGCTTGAATGATATGGAGTGCATACGTGTATAGTGTATTATGTTAAATTATCTAACACCCAAACAATGTGGAAATGTGTACAAGTAATGTCTGCACAACAATTATATTGTATGAAAGTTGTAATGTGTTTTAAAGTATGTACGATTTAGTTAATGGTATTTTCTCTTGTGACTTGTTTTATAGTTCAATGTTGCTTTCGGCTATACTATCCCAGGAAGGCGATATGTTACATTTTGTTCTATCCGACAAGAATCTACTGAAAGGTGGGTTTTACTTCTCGTTTTGCTTATTATTTCTTTGGTGGTGAATATGCTTCTCTCACTGTGAGAGGGCTGTATGCCGTGTTTGTTTGACAAATCCTTGTCTTAGACAATCAGACCAGGCTATTTTTACACCGCAAACATTAAAAGTTATGCAAAATACCCAAAAGAATACCCTCACTAAATATGTTTAAATTTTTTAACTAGCAGAATGTTTTATATTCATAGTAGGCTGGTTAAGCTGTTTGCGGAGCATAAGCCAAGTTAAGGGTGGTGGACGCTGAACAACTAAATAATGCTATAAATTTGCCACCTTCCTATGTTATAGAATCTGAAAGTTGTCCATCATGCGTTTCTGTTGTAGACTGTCATATGTTCACCAACTAAGAGGAAGAGATCACAGAGATGTTTTGAAGCCTATCGCTGCAGTTGGTTCAGGTGGTATTCTAATTGGATCAAACTACCATATTTTTTAGTGTAATTCAATGCTAATTATTATACTTATGCTGTGCTCACAAAGATATTGCAATGTGCTTTAGGCTTGGAGACATCAATGACAGATTCAAAGGGCGGTATCCTTACATTTAAAGGTGTTGAGATAACTGTTGAATCAGAAGATGCAGAAAAGATCAAAGTGAGCCACGTATATTAGATTATGTGTTAGTTCTATGTTGAAGCTTTTTTATAATGATGAATTGTAATTAATGCTTGTGTGCCTTACTCTTCTTATGAATCTTATTTTATAAAGAGTAGTATTGATCTAATATGGCACATACTTTGGAACTTTTGTTTGTTTTGTCTATCTGCAAGTCACTATCATTTCAACTGTTGTCTAAAGCATGTGCTTGCTTCTCAACATTTATATGATTACAGAGATCTGAATTCTGAAGTTCCTTTGTATTTATAGTTGAGGGTGGACTTGACTGGAGAAGATACTCAGAAAGCCTTTGATATGGTATTGTTAAACTTAACTCGCTCAGCCCCGCCAATTCCTGGGTTTCGCCGCCAGAAAGGAGGTAAAGATAGTAATCGATACATTTTTGTAAAGTTTAGTGTTTTTTTGCATCTAACTGTTTTGATTGGCCTTATTGCAAGCTCAAGGGTTGATGGTATGTCCATTTCTGTGAATTAAGTCATGCACTAAATTTATTTTGTGGATTCATCACCTACAAGTGTTTACATATTCAAAGTGTTGATAAATTCAGTCATAGTTGGTTGGGTCTTATGTACAGATAAATGTGAAGGATGTGATAAGTTTTTGGTTGTAAGGAGAAATAAGTATTCACTCAAGCAACCCCATGTATCTCATTCAATAATAAGGAAAAATCTATGCCTATTAGTTCTTTAGCCGAAAATGAGTAGTGATTTGATTAATTTGTGTATATCAAGGATGAGGCTGATGTTTCTAAGCCACCATAGGATGTGAGATTTGTTATACTCATAAGATCTTTGAAAGTGTGCTGGTATATCGCCATCAAGAAGCTGGACTTTTTATGGTTTTTCTAAATTGATAGCTTTTTTCAGAACTGTAACCTCCTAGACGATATTAAAGAGGTACATCTTCCTTAATTTAGGAAGAGTACAACTGCATATGCTCTAGTAGAATTCTGGTGACAATGAATTGCAAATTTGCAAGCATAAAAGTACTAGTATGACTGCAACCGTTGCATTCTAAAGGATGTTTCACTTATTTGATGCTTAACCATTCTTGTTTTAAAACTGTGCATTATATTTTACCATGATTCTTAGATTTGTAATCTTCACTAGTAAAGTTATCTTTTTTTTTATTATCAATTACCTTTTGTGATTAAATTTGTCAGGTTAGTCAGCAGTTTTAATAACTTGTCAACTGAGGAATTCTGACATTGTTTCCTTTTGCTTCTGCATCTGGAAAATCCAGGAAAAACAGCAAAGGTAAAAAATTGATTGTAGTTTCTTGCCAAACATGATACTCCGTATACCATATAGGCATCCTAGTTTGATTTGGGATATTCTATATGGTATCATTGTGTGTGAGTGCTTAACCATTCTCTAGACACAATTTTCTAAAGATTTTAAGGTTATGATACATCAGAAAATATGATTCCCTTTTACAATTCTGTTAAAATCCTTCAATGGTAAATCTATTTGTTACTGATCTCCAAACTGGTCCAGGTTCCCAAGAACTTACTTCTGGATATAATTGGTAGAAACCGTGTTACAAATTTTGTTATTCGGGAAATTGTCACCTCAGCTGTGGCAGGTTATGTGGAGGAGGCAAGTAGCTGAAACTGATTTTTGCAACTTACAGTATTTGAAGTTTTTTTATTTGATAGCTTATACTTACATATGCACTTTTATTTCACACAGGAGAAGCTTACTCTGAAGGATGACAAGATCAACACAACTCAGACTGAAGATGAGCTTAAACAATCTTTCGTGCCTGGAAATGCATTTGGCTTTAATGTTGAACTGGAGCTTATAAATGAAGAAACTGAGAGTGAGACTGCTAGTGCTGAAACTGAGAGTGGGACTGCTAGTGCTGAGACTGAAGCATAGCAGATTTCGTACTCAGAAGCAGTAGTATTTTAGCATTTCCTACAGTTGGGCTTCAACATCTAAACATGGGCGTGTTTCAACTAAATTTGTGCTCAAAGGCTGCCTTTGGTCCAGATTTATAGCCAGAAGGTTCTATGATGTAAAAAATGTTTTGTTAGTAATTTGACCAATTTCTATGATTTAGCAGCTATAACAAGATGAGAACAATTTTCTGCAGTCTTCGTGTCTGCTGGTGGTGCTAAAATTATCTGCAGTTTAAAGTGTAAGGATACCATCTTTGTGTATTTGAAAACGGAAGAACAATATTCTTTTTTTATTTTTATTTTTTTTGACACAGGATAACGATATTTCTTTGCAGCAAGTCTCTGAGAACTTTTTTTTTTTTGACATTAGCTTATCCATACATTAATCAACAAGAGTTTACAAAGTACAACAAAGTGAGCTCTACTAGCTAGACATTTTGTTTGTTGGAGCTGCCTTACACACCGCATTCTCATTCCCACTAGGACTGAAACTTGGCCAATGAAGGCTAAGGACAGCCCTTGTAAACCTGTGAAACTTGAAAGACGAAGAAAGAGACAGGACGGTAAATTCACAAATTGATTGAAAAAGCCTATTGAGCAAATTGAAATGCTCACAAACCGAGCCACCAAAAGTGACTCAAAGAAAGAAGTTAATCTATTATGTAGGTTTTTCTTACAGTTAAAAAAAAGAAGTTAGATCTGGAAACTGTGCACACATTTTCTGAAAAATTGTCAAATCATGAAGACTAATATTGTTGTTTTAGATATGTATCAGCAGGTCATATAATGATGTATGGACATTGTACACTCTGGACTAGACGTATTTACAAAGGTATTTCCACCTAGAATTTGCCAAAAAATAAATCAGTAAATCCTGAACACTCTGGAAGATATGTATCTGCAACTTCTGAACTTTGCAGCAGGTTGAAATAAACCACCTTTGCCTAGTTGGTTTTTCTGTTATTGTTTCTCCAGCTTCTGCCACAAGTAGAGTGCCCTTCTGATGGTAGGATCTGCTGAAAAGCCTTCAGCATAAGCACTGATTGCATTCAACAGCGTTGTAAATTTTTCGCCATCATCCTGTAATTATACAATATATATTAGGACATTCAACACCATGGATTAACCAGCTATATTGTTTTCCTACATGTACACAGGTGAGCCTTTTTACATATTAATTGCTAGTAGCAACTGGAACCGTCTCATCGAGAACCATGATGGGTTGAGTAAAGAATTCTATTAAAAGACCAAAAGAGTGGAGATAGTCCGATAAATTAACACCAAGCTGCATTTTAGACTTAAATTACTCCCTTCGTCTGTCAATAACTTCAAGACTTCAATACTTTGCTCATTCACAAGAATCACATCCTCCAAAACACACATTTGAGTATTACTCTGGATTAGACTTATTTACAAAGGTAATTTCCTCCTGCATAATATAACACTTTCGAGTGATCATTTAAGGCATGGTAACCACCATTTCACTTGACTGAGCTTACTTTGCCAAAGACAGTTATAGTTAGCAAAACAGAAACTTCAATGATAATATTTATACAAACCTCTGGCTTATGAAATATCAGATCAGATGTAGCAAATGGAACAAGGTAATGAGGAAGATCAGAACGCAATATTGCCTGCAAGACAATCATATGTCAATAGAAGAAAGCCACCACAATATTCTCTCACTAATTCTCTCAACTAAATAAAAGAAAGAATTGTCATCAGTTAAGTAAAAAAGTTTATCCCCACACAAAGCGATTCAATACAAATAAGCTTTGTTGAATAAATTACCAATTCTTTGCTCATGAGAGCTATATCAGTGCTTGATATCAGTGCCTGCACGGTCAAAACAGGAATTAAGTGAATACTTAAACATGCAATAAAACAAAACAAAGAAACATGTATCAATAATAAGGAAAAAAAGCCCTTCATGAGATCAGGACACAAGCACCTCCAATATCAGAAAGAGACATCCTTATTTACACCAGGACTCCAGTGCGGCAGTGCCCTAAGGCAAAAGGCTCACTAAGTCACTAATCTATAGAGCACACTCCAGCACACAATTAAATGTACTTATAGATAATAATTATTAGATAAGTACCAGTTGAACATACCAGAACCCAAATCTTGTTCCTGCTACTGATTTCCACAACAGAAACCAAAAGGAATTTTAAAATATAACTTAAGAAAATTGTTGTCCGATCTCCTTTTATTCTTTTCAAGTTCCAACCTTTGCAATTTTTCAGGACACTTAACACTAGAAAGTTTCTCCTTGTGTCCCAAGTACCAAGGAAACAAAAGCATAATCAAGCCTCTTCTGTGCAAACAAAAAAAAAGTTTATCCACCCTAAAAAATCAAATAACTAATATAGGAACAGCACCAACAAAGACGGCATTAGAGTCTAATAACTATATAGGGCGGCTACTTAGAATCAAATAAGCAGCTGAGAAAGTTTATCAACCTAAAATATCCTCATCACATGAAGAAAAGATGAAAAATATGCAAAATTATGTGTATTTCACACCATTGGCAGAAGTTTTGCAGGTTTATATCCTGACATCTTTTTAAATCCTATACTTGGTTAGAAAAATCCCCAATAAGTTCATCTCACCCTTTTTCTTAGCCCAACCCATCATTTTATATACTCTCTCTCCTTTGCCTTAATTATTGTGCAAATAGTAAATGTTAAAAACATAATGAAATGGAGGTGGTATTAGTGATTGATACTCTAAGCAACAATTAACTTGCCAGCAGCCGTTTTGATTTTCTATATCTAGAGTTAATGTTTCCAATAGTCTATTATTCTACCCCACCTAAAATTATCTCAATACCTTTTTTCATAATCCCACATGCTCCCTCTCTTAAGAAATCATTAAACCAGTAGCCGCATGATGAAGTTTACTCATATCCAAGCTTAAAATAAGAATTGTCTTCTGTATCTTTTCCAGGAAGAGCAATCAACAAATACAATGATCACATGTGGGTTGCCATAGACAATTCAATTATTTTCTGCAAATAATATGCTTTAGCCTAGTCTATGAACACACAGTCAAACATATATCAGTAACTTGTCCTTAGAATTTTCAGTCAAACAAACTCATACCTCTTTTATATGGCCTTCTTGCACTTTATCAATATTAGACAATAATTCTTCCAAAGATCCAAATTCTGTTATCAACTGAACAGCATTTACTTCCCCAATTCCTGTTACCCCTGTGTCAGGAGTTACTCAAAATTTCAGAATCACGTTATATCAACCACCAAAACAAACTGAGATTAGTCTTTCAAAAAGATTTGGTGAGAGTCTAGAACATTCCAAACCAACCTGGTATGTTATCACTTTTGTCACCAACAAGTGCCACAACATCAACAAACTGAGAAGGACTTAGAGTTCCATATCTTTTGGCAAAATTCTCCAGGCCATAAGAGACCATTCTACACAAACCAGAGAACACCAAATTATGTGAATAACAGCATAAAAAACTGAAAGGGCCAAAGATAAGACAATTGAATAGGTATAATTTACAAAATATATTTAAAATAGAAATGTCAACAGGCCCCCCTGGTTTGGTCAAAAATCTCCATGTATGTAAATAAACAGAAATGTAACTTTATTTTAATGGAGATGCCTAGAACTTATATAGTAGTATTTTATGAACCTTGGGAATCCAAAATGGAATATCCAAATAAGAGATCATCAAAATGGAATTTTTGCATAACACCAGATACGAAATGAAAATTTCCTTTTTACCTTCATTATGAACAGGTATCAGCAGCCAAAATTAAAGGCAAAGCCTTTTTTTTCAGACTAAGAAATTAGCAGGGAATTTCTCATTCCTTTTCTACCAAGACATTCACATGACAATGTAGATTAGTAATTGCCACAATAGCATTTAACCTTTTTTTAAGAAGATCATGTAATAAACTAAACTAAGGAGGAGCACTATGGGTAGTCTAGTATCTTTAGGTTAAGTCTTTAGTTTTATTATAAATAGGGAGAGAGGTAAAAGGAAAAGACAGGCAAAATTAAATCCTTAGAGAATTGTGGCCTCAAGAACGATTTAGAGAGTGGTGACCTAAAGTCACTAATAGAGATTGGCATCCTAAAGTTGCTAGCTTGTACAAATCCCTGTTTTTCAATATTTTCAATAGAAGATTCAATCTTTCCCTCTGTATTTCTGTGTTAATGGTGTGTGTGATAGTCCAGCAAGCCTGAGTCTATTACAGTTCACAATATCTTTCAACCCCTCCAAAGGTAACATAAACTATTTGCAAGTGCTCTGGTCACTCAACACAGAAAAATCTTGAAGCAGGGACAATGTTCACCAAAACACAACAATCAAGCCAATGAAGGTATTCACAATAATAAATCTTGGCCAATTTTTATGACATGAGAGTTATTAGCCATTAGAATACAATTTCAATCAAGAATCACATGACATGCATGATCAGCTCTTAAAGCAGGGATATTAGAGGAAATAAATCAAGTGTTTTGGAAGTCAAGACAGAAGTAATATTAACTCATCTCCACGTGAAGCAATTCGTAAAAGACGCAGGGAAGGTGACAAAAGCTGGAAGAAATCTTTATCTGGTGAGACAACTCGGACCTATCACAAAAGTAGTTAGTACCATAAATCAGAAATGGAGTAAATTTCAATCTAGAATAAAATATATGCTAACAAAAACAAACAAAATAAAGTTAGACATGCAAATGAGTGAAGAGGCTGTCATGTTGCAATATGTATAGGCAGTCACTAGATCAGCTTTGACTCTTTCAGATAGATATTTTTCCTCATATTATACACAGCAATACATGAGAGGTATATAAGTTCTCTGTTGAGAATAATCATATAACTTAGCCATGCAGTACAGGCGTGCAGCTTGTGTTAAGATGAGGTAGGATGATAGTATCATCTTATTTTTCTTACCCCCTGGTTCTTTTTCTTTGGTTCTTATTTATAGCTTAGTGCAACCTGGTGAACACAGAAATGTGCTGGTTTAGAAAAGACGAAAGTGAATATTGGGATCCCCATGGTGTTATTTGGTTCCTTTTGCAACCCAATGAATAGTGGTATGTGGAAGCAAATCAGGCAGCAAACTTTTGAGGGAAAAATTCTACATTTAAATAATTTGAATCACTTTTTGTGATTCTGATATAATTGGAGCCAAATGTTGCATTCTGAGCGACTTGTTAACTTTTTTATTGTAGTTAAAACCATAAAATTACACTGAGGGCTTCATTTATATTGCTGCAAAGCCTCCAATGCTCCACAGGAGACCATTACTTGAATTTCAGTAGATATAACTCTTCACTACACAAATCAATTACCCAACATAATACACAGCAGGATTAAATCAAGACTAGAAGCAAAAAAAACCTCATCCATAACCAATTTAGACAGATTAGTGACAGATAGACAGACTGTTTTGAATATAAAACTTCAATCAATTATTATTAACATTTTAAGTAAACAGTATTAGCCATGTACTTCAACTAGATAAAATTCAGATTTCCAATCTATTTCTCAGGAATTGACCTTGTAACCAGACTCAACACTCCTTAAAGCAAGAGTTCCTATAACATCATCAGCTTCAACACCTGGTACCTGGTTTCAAAAGGGCAACATAAGTCAATAGGGAGAGAGTACTCATCTAAAATTTACAGCTGCAGCACTAATTTGGTTACCTCAATTACTTTAATTGACATAGCCTTGATGGACGCTTTCAGATACTGAAGTCCTTGAACCACGGTATCAGGTGTAGGACCACGGTTGCTCTTATACTGTGGATACATGGTGTGGCGAAAATTTGTGCCTTCACCAAAAAAATGCTAAAACTATCAGTCCACACAGTTACCAAAATGGCAGATAACCCTTAATAACAAAAATGTAAACAAATTTTTTTACATCCTATACAGAAAAACACAGAATTACTTCACTGAAAATTACTATTTAATAGGTAAGATAGATAAGTCTTCTTCATGGGCCCATATATTGGTACAGCACAAACAGCATAATAATCTGCATTTGCTCATTTTAAACAATTCTGCAGTCAACAAATTAGAACTTCCCACTGATCAATGACATCCACAAATGTATCTCGTTTTTTAATTGGAAGAATACTCGATCCTTCAGATTCTTCTTGATCAATTTCTCCTTGACAATCTTCATATTTTTCTTAAAACTAATACTACAGGAACCCTCAATCATTCAACATCACATAGTGCAAAATCAAAATACTCTCAAAGTAGAGCAGAGTAGGGCCTTAACTAACCCAAACAGATCAAAAAACAATGGCACAGGTCAAGCATCACAAAATTAGGGATTCTCAACCAACATTCATTTGCACAGAGGAAACAGACCTAGCTTGAGTCAACATCGACCGAACCTCCTCCCCCAATCCTCTTAAATAAAGCAACCACCAAGCATATTCATAAAGGGTGCCAATTGGATATTACAACACACCCTCGAATACATTAATCAAAACGTATCACTGCAGATGTAATCGCTCAGTTTTCACTGCTCTATTTCAAAAATCAGATGCAAATATGGTTACAATATTTTGGGACACTTTCCCAAACACTAATTTACTATAGAATGGACCAGTCTTTTATACTTGGGGATAGATCAAAAGGACTGTGAGATGTAGTGGTGCCTATACAATTGCTAAAATATCACTCAATACTTTCTTTCTGGTTCAAAACTTAGGAGTAAAGAATAATATTTTCAGAAATGAAATGAAAGAAAAAGGATTTGAAAAATAATGACAGAAATGTTTGGTAGATTCAAAGTCATCTACAATCCAAATTTCAACAAGTTGTTGCAGAATTTCAATTAAGATAATTACAAATTAGTTTTTCCCTCTGGGCACAATTGCACAGTTGCACCCCTTCCACTGCTTCTCCATCAGGGAGACCAGAGACATGAAGATTTTAAAATATATATATATATTGAAAGCATACCTTTGAATGTTAAGCTTTGTTTTGAGGAATTAGTAGTTTCACCAAATGAATTTCCTGAAATTAGAAAGCTCTATCAAAAAAATGAAAATAATTCTTTCAATTATATGATTAGGATATTCTGTTTCAAAAAGATATAGGTTAATAAAATAATGTATTGATTCAATTATTATATAATTTCAAGTCACCTAAGTCTGGCAGTCACACATATTACAGATTTTTACAGCACACTATAAGCCATGAATAAATTATATACAGCAGATGTCGATTATTGAAGCGATCGTATCAATGAGATAAACAATAACAGAAGACACATATCTAAATGATTTCCAAATCAGAGTTTAAAATTATATACACCAAATTTAAAGTTCATAAATGATAAATCGGTTAGACGACTTTGCCAGCTTGACCTATCAGATCAACTTCCCACCATGTCTCTCTCTATTTGGCTTCCAGCTCACAGCCAAATTCAAATCAATATTTACCCACCATGGCTTGAAGATAAACTCAACAGTCAACACACCCATAGTCCCCACCCATTGTATTGTACAACCATAATGAATAAAGAAGTCGAGAGTAGCACTTGAGGGTATTACTTCATTTTCTTTTGGTTAACATACATTAACATGAATATCATCTAACTCCAAGAAACACAAAAGCTCAAAGAAAAGACAGCTCTCTGCTCAAGTACATCTAACAAGTGCATAACAACTTCCATACGGAGAGTAAATTCAAGAGCATCCTCCCTTCTTAGTCGAAAATTGGAAACATCAGCATAAGAGCACAGAGTGGTTCAGCTGGCATAGAGACATGTAAAAAAGCTTGACCAATTTAGTGCAACTTCATAGCAAGGTTATGATTCTATTGTATAATGTACATGACTTTCATTCATGTACACATCCCATTAATAACAGCAGAAATTTCCCAAAATATTCTAGATAGCCAACCATTTACAGTCATCAAAAAGCTAAATTAAGTTCTCTTAACTTACTTCCATAGCACCATGAGATAACATAAATAACCACTACCAATCTGAATTACACATACCCCCTCAACAACACATAGAAGCATGCTACAATCAGCTGGCTGTCAAGAAGTAGATGGTGCTCAATCAAGAAATCAAGATTAATGTAAATCTCGATTTTCATTCAAGAAACACAAATACATGATATCATGACACAAGCTTAACCCCAGATATGCTAACAGCCTACAACTGAAGACATGAAAATGCCAGACTGGAAACCTCACCAATATGGTCAAACACCACCTGCACAAATTAAGTTCAACATATTAGAGGATGGCGACAGAACATACAAACCACATATAAGTAATTGAACAATCGATCGTAAATTACACTTCAAGAGACAATTTGCTTGTATAAAGTGCAGAAGCTTTTAATATATTTAACGTTATACATACATACTCCTCGTCCAAAATTAATGTCTCAGTCTCATTAGCTCTCCCCAAATCAAGCCATCTGTTGTAACCCCAGCAAAAAGGAAGAGAAAAGGATTTCCATAAACCAAGGAGCTAGGTGTCACCCAATTTGCTGCACTCATGATCTTGCAAATGTGGTTACAGAATTCCTGATTTCTTAATGAAATATAAACAATTTAAATTTCAACTTCAAAATAAAATTTCTGAACTGTACTCACTATGTAGGAGCTTCTTAATTATTATTTTTTTCCAACAAAAATCGCTTTATTTAGAAAAGCAGGAGATATCTGCTGTGATACGAGAGTTACGCAAAAGAATAAATAGTCCTCTAGGTAAAAGAGAAAAATTGCAATTCATCGGGAATATGAGAGGGCATATCAAAAATTGTCATCATTATTCAGTTAGATGTAGCTTGAAAAACAAGAGAGAATCAAAGCCAATAAACAGTGGGTTAAGCCGTTAAGGTAAGAGAAAGTAGGAAGAAATTTATTGAGTGTTCCTTTTAATTTCAGTATGTATTTACGTACTGCGAGAGAATCAAGCCTTTCAAAACCTTGAATACTTTTACTATTTCTGAATATGCTTGTTATTCAGATTCATCCTTTCTTCACTTAAATAACTTTGTCACAACTCCAATTCATTACATAAAACTATTGATGAAATCCTATTTCCTCTCCTACCACAACACCCACAAGATGACCCACGCAAGCAGATAATTGCAAATTTCCTTCCTTTATCTTTACTGAAATCAACAATTCAAACTTACAGATTGCCTATGATCATAGCTGCACAAATCCCATCCAACCCAAAAAACTCAAGAAAACTTGTTCTATTAAGACCAAACCTAATGTTGATGGAGGTATTCTCCCAACTTCCAAGAAACATAAGTCATAAGACAAGCATCCAGATGCATGGCTTTGTTTGGCTGTAATTAGTATTGACTTTTGAGTCTGTTAGAAACAACCAAACAAAAGCCATCTCCATCAATAGAGACCTTGAATTCCACATGTAGCTTGAGATAAGAAAAGAATTTGCATAAGAAAACACAATTTCTTATATCACACATTCTTTTCCCTCCCAAGCTTTGTTTTTTTTCAGATCAAATAACCCCTTAAGGATTTTTCCTTATTTCCCTTCCTCTACTGCCTTCTTATTTAGATATTGTAAACCCAGACAAAAAACACAATTCCTCCTTCCAAAAGAAGTTTCTCTGGCGTCCCCTTTCCTCTATTTGCCATGAAATGTTTCTTCCACATTAGCCACGTTTTGAGCACATTTTGAAACTTGAACTTTTCGGAAGCAACAATCTGAGTCCAAATAATGTTTCCGTGCAACAGAGGCAAGAAGCATGCACACACAATTTAGTGAGCTTAATATCCCCAAACAAGATATAAACCCCCTCCCACACATCAATCCTCCCAAAGATTGATTTCAAACAGAGTATAACGATCAGCACTTCGTCTAGAATTTTCCACTAAAGTCACTCCCGAATAAACAAAAGTAACAGTCCAACTACTACAGCCTGCCAATAGATAACTTATCCACAATATAGTCATCCCTATTAACTCCATTCAGAGTAGATACATCCAAATCAAGCCAGTACTACAAAAATCACAGCCCTTAGTTGACTCAAAGACTTGCAACAAAGTTAACACATTTCTATACTTTTCAACCTCAGCACCATTAGATACCAGCATAGTATATTTTAATGCTATTCTCACTTTCTTAGAATGGTCATCGCTACACAAAACTGCTTTAGAAAGTGTTTAATTTGTGCTGAGTAACAACAAAATTCATCTAAAAACATGTATCATTTTTCCTAGTTCTCAAAATCTCATAATCAATCAATCTACCTTAATTCCATACCCTTTTATATGTCTCACCTTTAGTACATAATTCAAGCTAGAAGCAATAAACATAAAGAGTCTCACCTTTAGTACATAACTCAAGCTAGAAGCAATAAACATAAAGAGCATCATCTTTGGTATTGTATAGTTACTAAAATCGATTCACGTGGTCATGTTAAACAACACAACAAGTAATCATGTCACATGCTTTTATGTTAACAATATGTAATGAACTGACTTAGGGGAGGGTATTAGGGGTAGTGTAGTATGTTAGTAGTTATCAAATGTAGTAGGGCAATTTGAGAAGTCTAGTATTATTAGGTTAGTAGTTTGCAACCTTAGTATAAATAGACAGAGGGAAGAAAGAAGAAGGTAGGCAGAAATTTGTTAGGGAAACCTAGAGAGAGTCATGGCCTAAAGCCATTTTGGAGAGTTGCGAGCAAAACTCACTATTGAAGATTGATAGCCTTAAGCTATTAACCTATCTTTTGTAACCCTTTCACCATTATCAATCAAAATCCAAGCTTTAATCTTTATTTACTTGCACTATTAAATCAGAATTATAAACTCAGAAAATCAGTTCATCACACAATATTCCCAAATGTAACTGAATTAGCTTCAATTTGGTCATTGACTTCGGTGAATTAAGGTGACATCAGTATGAAGATAGACATAAAGTGGATGAGCACAGAGATGATGATACCTCACCCCCCCCCTCCTCCCCAAGCAAAATAAGAAAACTGCAGAAGGAAAGAGATGCAGTCAGTACGTGCATTAAGTATTGCAAATCTTTTATCTCAGTGTATAAATTGAGATGTTTGGCTATAATTTGCACTAGTCAACTCCAAGTGTGGAATAATGTATTGTCTTCATCTCAACATACAGAATGAGGTAAAATTTGATGTGAAATGTTAATGCTTTAAGGTTTAGAAATTTAGATCTAGCTCCTTATTATTAAAGACATCTTCCTTTCTTGCACTGCCCAAAATTTTCAGTCTCGCAATGCTTTTTTCCCTAAAACCATATACTATGCTCCATAAACCATTAAACCCATGAATTATACGTCCAGATTAGAATTTGAAACTATAATCTGAGTTAGAATGAATATTTAAGTTGTGGAGGCTACTGCACTTACGATGTAGAATATTTATCATGAATGTGACTGTCAAGATCGACAAGCCATAGATATCAAGGAGTTGCATGCTTTTGACATTTAAATTTTGTTCACATAAAGTACTTCTTATCTAACTTCCAACTACTAAGAAAGCATTATTATGTAAAATCAAACAGAATAATAATAAATTAAATGAAAAATAAATTAAAGCCTTACCGCCACATGCGAAGGATTGAATGTAAGCACATCAATTATCTGCAAGACAGACAAATACTAGTCATTAGAAATAAGCAGAAAATAGAAGCATGCACTTCAACCTACATGCTGAGACACTCAAAAACCATATAATAATTACAAAGTAATTAGATAAAGGACACCAATATAATGTTGATAAGAATAAAGAGAGACATGAAGGAGGAATGACAGGAAAGACTTGAGCAAGATAGGGCCAAGACATTAAAAAATAAATTAAAGATGAACCACTATCCAGATAATATGTGAGCAGAAAAAAGGGAGGAGAGTGACAAAACTTACAAGAGATAGAGCGGCAAATATTGTCAGAACCCAGTCTCCATTGCCATCAGCATTCGAAAGATAGCCATGGTGCAATTTTGCTAGAAGAACATGAAAAGATTATTTAAATGTAAAACAGCCAATCCTAGTTGTTCTACAGGTACAAAACATGTCCAAATCAAGGAAAGCTCAACAAACATGTGGGTAGAAAAGTAAATTATCCAAAAATAAATACATATCATGTAGTCATGCAACAATCAAAGTTGTACTTAGGAATGCCTCTTTTGGGTTATTCACATTTTCACAAATTAAAATTGACTGAGATTCATAAACATTTGGATAACATTAGCGAAAAGCATGGCTAATTGATGTTGCTCATACAGCACATACACTTTTCTATGTTAATTGTTAAGGAAACAACATCACTCAAAAAAGAAAAATATCAGCTTGACGAAAGGATATTTGGCCTATGGAATTTAAGCCCCTGTACAGAAAGTTGAGCAATGGGAAAAATGGCCCTAAAAATGCTTTGATGCTTGCAATGTAGCTAAGTTCAACAAAGAACTATAATTAATAGTAATGAATATTATGAGCTAAAAAGATCAGAGGAAAATTACTGGATCACCAATAAATACCGAGTCCTAAAGGCTTTCTTGTTACCATCATTTAATCAAAGGAGTCGGATTACAGCAAGCAAGAGAGAGAAAAAAGAACAGTTGAGAAGAAATTAAACTTAAGACCAAATTTATGAATAATTTAACTCATCACAACCAATCTATAGCATGCATTAGATATAAATAGTAACAGACGCTGTTCAGCACATCAACCAAATCACAATACTAAAGCACAGTTAGCCAACAGTTATTTCTTTCTATATTTTACAAATAACTGAAAGCATATATATACTTAAAAAAAAAAAAAAAAAAAAAAAAAAAAAAAAAAAAAAGCAGTTATTTCACCCACATATACAAAAGTGTATGAGAATTTTTACCTAAAAGCTTGTAGTAGGCTCGGTATATAACAGCGGTCCCATCAATGAGCATCACCCTACCATTTGAAGGAGCCTCACTTAGTGAGGCAACATTGGGATTGACAAATTGCATATATTTGCGTTGCCCAATCCCTTGCTCATTTTGCAAGGAAGTTTCCACATTGCTACCAGAAGAGACAAAGGGTAATCTAGTAATATCTCTTCCAGAATGGTAAAATAACTTGGAAACCCCCTACAAAGAAAGTTGGTTATTGATAAATCAACAAGGGTTAATCAGTTCACCAAATCCTAGGATACAATCTTTATTCTCAAATATCAGAATAAAACTATGGAAAAATAAGCATAAAATCTATGTTACTCCGACACCCTGCCGTACGTCAAGTGTCAGGTGTCAGATCCTCCGACACTTCAACATGACATGAAACCCAAATATATAGTGGCCTTTACAGAAACTTTATAAAATTTGGAGTGTTGAAGGATCCAACACCATGTCGGACATGACACCTAAATCTGAGTCTGTACAACATAGCATAAAAACACACAGAAACTCCACATTGTAAAGGAAAGAGCAGAATTCATAGCCAATGGAAAGAAACCAGGTGAATTACCTTTGCATTGAAAATTGCAGGGAAATTGAATACATGTGATTTGCAAAGATTTCCGCCAATACTGTGCATAAGAAACTTCTTTCCTAAGCAACCAGTTGGCCTTGAGTAGACATGAAGATGTGAAAAACAATAGCAAGCCATAAACTCATGCCAATACTATCTGCCTGTTGAAAGCAGTGCAAATAACAAATTTGTTACTTAACTACTTTTCTGTGAAATTAATAGCAAAAACTAAATTCTAATATTTGTAGCATAATATTATTCCATCAACATAATTACACATTCAGAAAAAGTTCACTATTAACATCAAGTATCAAATACCCCACTACATTCACTATTTTTTTGTTCATTTCAATTAAAACCCTATCAACTAATATTAAGTATAAAACATAGAGTATGAAACAGTTTAAGCGCATAAAACATAATTCTATAAAAAAAAAAAATTATTACAAATTTACAATCAACAAACACTAACTTTCCAAACTTATCTATAATGGATTAATGGGCAACAATAATTACTTGGAATTTTATAAAGGGTATAAAAATTGATTCTCAGTAATACAGAAAAATTGAAAGAAATTGCTGAAAATTTTAAAAATTAAAAGAATGGCGATAGTACATAATAAACTTAGCAGCAAAAATAGAGTATTAAACATTGAAATTAGCAGATAATAACTAACCAAATGTCTGACCTTGCTGCAATTCAGTGGAGTATGAAGCTTGGCCTTTGAACCCTTTAATGGAGTAGTGTAGCAGAGAGCGTTGTTGGGTTGTGAGCAGAGAAGATGAGGCTGCTTGCTTTGAAGGCTTTGGGCGGTAAACCATATGGTTGCAAGTCTAGACTCTAGAGGTTGGTTTGTGGTCAACAAAGGACACCAAAAGGGCAAAAGGTCTATAGTCTATTGTTAATTCTAGGTCTAGGGGTGTTGAAAAAAATCTGACCCGCTTGACCCAACCTGATTACCTAACAACTCGCAAAATACTGGACGGATAATTGGAGGAGTTTTTTCAATTTTTCGGGTCGAGCACCTGACCTGCTAAAATTCAGAATAAATCTTGGCCGTTGATAAAAAAAATGTGTGTCATACCTTCATTTGCCACATCTTTAAGGAAAGACATAAAAAGCAAGTTGTTACAATATTTTATTCAATGACCAAACAATGATAAATTGATGACCGGTTATTTGTATATCTCGATTATTGTTTTTTTTTTCCCAAAAATTTCTCTCTTCGTTTTTATTATTTTCCTACATTATCTCTCCCAATAACCAACCCAAGGGTTATTGGCTGGGTTCTTTCTTATCTTACATTAATATTGCATGCCTGCATATTTTGATCTTTCTCTTAAAAAATGCAATGGTTTTAAATTTGATATTATCAGATACAAATAGCTCATTTCTCTTGAACAAATTGATTAAAAAAACAAGAAAATTGATTAAATTTGAACATAGCTCATATCTCTTGGACAATAATTCTAGTGTGATAGGCTTCTCAAATTATTTTATCCGACCAGCTTTCTAAGATCATTATGCTAATCTTACAAATAAAGAAAAAGAATTCTTCAAGGATCTCTTCCATAATTTACACCAGTTAATCACTTAAACAAGTACTCCCTCCGTCCTTTATTTACAGCCTAGTTTCCTTTTAAGGGTTTCAAAATTAGATGCCTATTTTCTTTTTTAGTTAGTGATTTTTTTACCAAATTATCCTTATTCTCCAAATTTATTCCCCACAATGTCCCCAAATTAATGTGATGTGACACTACTTTATTTACTTTTGCTTTTGACATTTAATGGTTGTACATAATTTTTTTTCTCTCTCCTCCTTATTAAATGAATTTAATTGATTCTTTTATTTTTCATAAGTAAATGTGATTGGACCTTTTTTTTTTTTTTTTTCTTAAAGGATTGCTGACATGTGCAAACATTTATTTTTATTCTATTTTGTTTTATTCAAAGACAACAATAAATGTCTTTTTATTCCCTTGTACTTCCCAATCATGGGTTTTAAGAATACTCCAAGTTCCTTAATTCCCGTGTAAATTTAAAAGTAGGCACGTAAATAAAGGACGGAGGGAGTAAAACATTGTGTAACCAAGTAATATCTTACAAAGTAATTTGTATTTTGCAAAACTACTACTACATATACAACATTGGTTGTTTCTCATCTAGTTATTTGAGCATAATATACTTCGTATGAAGTTAAATTGTTTATAATTGTTATTAAGGACGTTTTCCCAAACTAAGCCCTATTTGCAAAGTATTTTGCAAAATGGATGCGTGACAAAACTATTTACCAAACTAAGCTTCTAAGGTAAAACGCTGTCTCGGACAGCGTTTTATACCCTGATTTTTTTTAAAAAAAAATTCAATTTGTAAAACTCTGTCTCGGACAACGTTTTACATGTTGACTTTTTTCTTTTTAATTTTGTAATTTTTGATTTAAATTTTTTTTTAAAAAATATTTGAATATGTAAAACGCTGTCCCAGACAGCGTTTTACATATTGACTTTTTTTTTTAAAAAAAAAAACCAAATTTCTGATTAAAAAAAAAAAAAAAATAGTAAAACGCTGTCTGAGACAACTTTTCACTAACTTTTTTTTTTTATAATTTTTTTTAAAAAAATTACTCTACCACTCCTCACGTTCTCCATTGAAGCATACTCCATATTCTCCCTTGAAGCATACTCCACATTCTCCATTGAAGCAGCAAATTTCATACGAAGTAGTTCCTTCCTATCATTATAGGGTTCAGCAACGCATTAACAACCAAATTTGATTCCTCCAAAATTAGGCTCACAAAAATCACAAATTTTAGGGGAAAAAAAGGTCAATTTCATAGCTCTTTAATATTGACCGCAAATTCGATTCAAAAGTAAACTATGCTCGAAAAATCAGACACACCATCTTTCAATAATTGATCTTACCGTAAATAAAATTTGATGATAAACCCTGGAAGGCTGGAATGTTGTAATGGTTGTTGCTTCAATGGAGAACGTGGAGTATGCTTCAATGGAGAATGTTGTAATTGCTTCAATGGAGATCGTGGAGTACGCTTCAATGGAGAACGTGGTGTAATCAATGGAAACAGTGATTTCCTGTCCCTCTGTCAGTTGGATGGGCTTCAGAAATCCAATACGAATTTCAGGTCCCTTGGTGTCAAGCATAAGAGCATATAAGATCTGTGTTCTGCATAGCAATCTTGATATTTCAAAAGTCTGAGTATGTGATTTTTTTGTAAAAAAATAAAAATAAAATCAGTTAGTGAAACGCTTTTCACTAACTTTTAATTTATTTTTTTTTAATTCAAAAACTTGGTAATTTTTAATAAAAAAAAAGTCAATATGTAAAAATATTCAATTTTTTTTTTAGAAAATTTTAAATCAAAAATTACGAAATTAAAAAGAAAAAAGTCAACATGTAAAACATTTTATGCTAAAAGCTTAATTTGGTAAATAGTTTTGCCACGCATCCATTTTGCAAAATACTTTGCAAATAGGACTTAGTTTGGGAAAACATCCCAGCTTATTATGACTACTACAATTCTCCACTCATATTGGATTAAACTGATATAAGTGGATGCTCTTTGCAACATCAAATTCATTTCAATCGATTAAAATGATTTCAAAAAAGATCTAACTATAATACCAGCACCGTCAAATCATTTCCATTACTTGATTGGATACATAATTACATACACTTAGTTTTTCACGTTCATTTCCAAGGAAATTACATGACATATCCTCTACATCCATTACATTGAAAATTTATTTCAATTTTCACTCTTTATAAAACAACTCGGCCAATCTTTTATTAAATTACAACGCCCTGAAAAATCCGCTGATAACATGCAACAAAGGATGAGAGCAACTAATCTAATTTTGCAAAATGGCCACACCTTGTATGCAACTGTTTTGCACCTGCCCCCATTCATGATCTTCAGAACAGGCAAATATTGACGAGCAATTGATTCTGCCAACCGATAACATATCCTAGAGACTACAAAGTTCTCTTGCCAACATAAGCCTGATATACCCAAGCTATCAACTTACTCAGCCTGTAAGACAATCATTCACGCTACTGGTTCAATTTACATACTACAATTGGATCTGCTTGTTAATTTTCTGGATCATCGTCAGATGATGACAGTAAGAGCTCAATCATCGCATTACTAGAGGCTTCACTCTCATTGTTGACACTAGGTATTAATTTAACTGGAGAAATTAGCTTCACAAATTCCCTCAATTCTTCAAAGCTACAATGCTCACTGTAAGGTACTTCATACCTACATGTCACAGCATAGCAAAAACAGGTTTGAATATAGCTTACTCGTATGATATATTTAAGTTTTAAGAAAATATACAGTACAAGACAACACAATGGTGATATATTTTCAGATGCAAGAAATAAACATGTACTCATATCCACAAACCATGTCGTAGATCAGTGCAGTGTACTTGTTCATAGATACTGGTGCTACACTGCTACCACTCTACCAGCCTCCTAGATTTCAAATTTAAAAACTTTGAGCTAGTGAGATCTCTGACTCATTTGATGCATGGTTCATCTTATTGATCAAACGTCGGGCCGGGCTGGGCCAAGCTTCAGGTCGGAATTTTTGTGCCCAAACCCGTCCAAAATGGTTGGGCCGTGCAGGGCAGCCCTAAAAAATCAACTAAATATGCATAAAAATGCATTCCCAAACCCGCCCCCAAAAAATTTGGGCCGGGCGGGGCCCAGCCCGATTTCGGGCCAAAAAATTCTGCCCAAAATCGGGCCGGGTCATACTTGATAAGGTCTATTTTAACCTCTATGATCTAAAACCCCTATCTTGCAATGCACCCTCCAAAAACACTCTCCCCACCACCTTTTACCACATTCGAAATTTCAGTATTCAACCCCCCTCATAAAAATTAAAAATGCTCCCAGAGTCCCAAACTTCCAGTAACTCCACAGTCACTAAAAAGAAAGTACGCCTGAGGTTCTAGAACAGTTTGTGAAGAAAGTAAAATTGTACGAGGCATTGAATCTGGCTGATAATGGTGTCACAAATGAGGAGTAAGTTTATGCTCAAATAGTCAAATTGCATTAGTTGAATAGTATTTTATTCTTTTCAATGTTAACTTCATTATTGATTTTATGTAGACTTTTGCACTTAAACACTTATGGTCATTGCAAATTTGCAATTTGGGTCTACATCTTTCACACAGCCATTTTGGCAGGTCAACCAAAGTATGCCATGTTCTGTCTTGGTGGCTAAAATGTTAGGGATAGGTTGACAGAGGGGTATGCGAGGGAGGCTTTGGCACCCACCCCTTCATAGCTTATGTCTGCATCCACACAAAGGCCATAGCTAGATTGGCCATGATCATCTGGACAATGTTATAAAAATACGAAGTATTACCTTATAATAGTACCCTGCTGCCACCTTCTCCCTGCACGTCCTGCAGTTTTCTTCCCTTTACCAAAAGTCCAACCAGTGGGAGAAAAAGCAACTATTAGACTGAACCTTTCCTGTAAAAAAACACAGCCAAAAAAATCACCCAAAAAACAGTGAGTCAAGCAACCTTTCTTAAGTTCAATTCAAACTCAATGGGAAAGGGCATTAATTATCTGGTAAGATAACAGCATATAATTCAAAGAGAGCAGGTGTAACGTGTAAGTGAATCACACATATTTGGTCACTTACTGCATATTGACATGACAGTTGTTTCAACCGTTTGAAGCTTACAATTGTCCACATAGGTACAACATGTATGTTGCTCTCACGATCATTTAGTGTAAACCACTGCATATCTTCTGCTGGCAGCTCCAAGCACTCCAAGAGACGAAGTTTTGCAGCAGGAACATAGATCTTCTTGCGCAGGACACGAGCTGCTTCTAAAAAGACTCTCTCCTTCCCTATTCATGCAAATAAACAGGGATTAATGAGAGGAAGAGATGGAACACGAGAGATGAAGTTACCAAGAAAGATATCATACCAATTGTATAACTGCCAATTAGAAACAGGGTTTTGGAATTGAAAGATTCTGCTTGAATTGCTTCAATGATGAACTGCACAACCACCTCCTGCTTTGGAAAGTTGTACTGCCAGAGAGCCATTGAAAGAATTGTTTGTTAAAGCTATGTTATTTACATCAATTAACGTAAGTGGGATTCCTGGTGCTGGGTTCAGTTAGGCAAACACTATTTTTCCACAATGTATTTGTATTTCAGTGCTTTGAAATGAATGAATTGCACCAACAATCCAACATGATAAAAAGCCAAGGCATAGGCATAGTAGAAAATTCAATTGACTTTGCAAAGTGAACATAATTTTGTTTAGTTGGAGAAACTAACCTGCCAATGTAAAGTATATTCTATATAGAATCATAAAATATATTAAGGTATAAGAATATGGGATTCTAGCCTAGTAAAATATCATCACAGTATCACAGTAACAAGAAAATTTAGTATCACGAATTCCTTTCATATAGAAAATATTAACAAGATGATAAACAAACAAGTACTTGAAATACACCAATATATATCGTATATACAGTTAACAGATTGGCACTGTGTAGATCTAGGACAAACAATTTTAAAATGGGCCAAACGAGAAAGTAAGAAAGTTATAGTTGAGGAAATCAACAGGTTATTGAGCTAAATCTAGTTTATAGGACTCATTTATAGCTAAGGCTTATGAGGCTTCAATCAGTAGGAAGTAATAAAATGTAGCAATTAGAAGTTAAGATGAGATTGACCTCTATTAGAAGTAAGATTGTATGATGTAAAAGGTAAACTTAGGTGGTTCACTAGAAGAGAAAGCAGACCGAAAATAATATGGAGAGAGATAAGGTAATCT